TGAGGGACATCTGTGCTTGCCATTAAAATATACATTCCCAGGAGAGCAGAAAACATTTTCTGAGGGTGAAACAAAGAGAATTATAAATTCTCTTTGACTTCATGGCTGTCTGAAATACCTGGAACTACTTTAATTCTACTACTTTATTTTTCCATTTTTCCTATTTTCTTTTGTTCACCGCCCCCCACCCCCATACACACACACACACACACACACACACACACAAACTATCTCTTTTCTTTTGCTACTTGTGATTCTGTTCCTTTGGGACAAGGGTTATTTGTATAATACTTTTACTCACTTGCAAGCCTCTGAGACAACCAAGCTGTAAATCTCAGTGATTACATATTTCCATATGGAGCACTTGGATTCAAGATACATAAACAGAATAATTTTCTCCCTGTTGCAGACAGATTCTTGGGGGGGGGGGTGCCTCTGAATAAAATTCAATGCGTATATCCTTTATTTTTTCTTTTCATGGGCCTCACAAAAAGACAGCAGAAAGAAGCCAGGAATAGACCCCAGTTGGAGAATGCTACCCAGTGTGCTTTTTTGCACTGAAACGTGTCTCTCCATACACACACACGCACACACATGCATGTATTTGCAGGCCCTCCGACAGTTACAAGCACAGATGGAGGCTGAGCAGGAAGGGACTGGAACAGATTTCCCAGCTGTTGCTAAATGCTCTTTTCCTTAGGAAGTGCTAGCCCAAACAGCACCAAGATATACACATGGCACATAAAGACTTTCCTTCGTGTCAGATCTTCGGCATAAGGAAGGTATCCCTTCCATTTTAAGCTTCTTGGGCTTCACATTTAATGCGCAACGCTATAAAAAGCATATCAAAATATCTATCGCCTGGTGACATGGAAGCAAACTCATTAATATAAAGATGGACTGCTCAGAAGACCCTTCACCCCTGCTAATTATCTTACAAATATTCCATCCTGTTCTTTGCAGAATAGCCTTTTCTCTGGCTAGCCTCAAAGCCCTGCCCTCCCAGGAGCAGAAAACAGACAGAACACGGGCTTAGAAGATTGACCCTGCCCCTGTCCAAAGCGGACAATTGAACCAGTCTTCCGTGCACTATTGGGATGCCTCTCCTACAAAACGGGAAGACATATTAATGCTTCTGCTGGTTAACCATCTGCATGGGTCAAATGAGAATTTCACAACAGTCGAACTGAAATTTCAAGAAGGGTAGCCAAGTTTTGCTCAGCTGAAATCACTGTAAGGGGGCTTGTAGTCTGGCTTTGACTCATTAATGAGTGATTACATCTGCTCCTGGGTGTACTAGCTTGAGTTTTTTTTTTAGTATTTTATATCCATTGATTAATTTTAATTGTATTTTTTTAAAAAAAATTGCTCTTTTCCGTTTCTTTTGTGGTTAAGTGAATTAGTTCTTCTGATTATGGGTCTTTGACCTAAACAGATCATAGCGATGATTACTTAGGGATCACCATGATTTGTTTTCAACAGCTTAAAAAAAAGTGTGGCTTATTACTGCCTTCTTCCTCAGATCCATAGTGGAACACACACACACACACACACACACACACACAGGTCAAAGTGGATGATTTTTATAAAACCACGTGCTTGCATAAATCATGAGGTACGTTCCAGAGTTGTGGTAGAAAGTGATTTGGGGGTTTCTTATTAACTTAACTAAGTTTTAAGGCCTAATGGTATCTGAGCTGCCTTTCTGATAGATTCAGAAAGCAGGCAGGGCCAGACAAATATTACTTTACATTTTAATGTAAAAGCTATTTAAATTAAATTAAATGCACTTAATGAATATATATATGTGTGTGTGTGTGGTGTGTGTGTGTGTGTGTGTGTGTGTGTGTTTTCTGAGGTTTTCGCGGGTATTTGTATGTGGATCTTTGGTTATTCGGGTTTTCTCCCGTGTAAAATTCCGAGAAGCACAGAGCCGAAGACACAGGCCTGAAGATGATGAATGAGACTTCATCGAAACGTTGCCTAGATACTTCCAATTTTACGCAGGAGAAAACCTGAATAACCAAAGATCCACATATATATATATATATATGGGTATTTTCCCATGTCATTATAGTTGTGCTTTTAAAGTTGTAGCAATGTTTCGGCAGAATCTCATCTGCCATCATCAGGCTTCTGTATTGTGTTCGTCTGTGAGTCAGACTTTCACAGCCGTTTCTGTTTTAAATTTGGGGCTAGCCTACTGCTGTGCCAGAATGGTTTTTTCTTCATCCTGATTGGTTGGGAGTCTTGGTCTGTGTTTATTGGTCTTGGAGTTTGCTGCCAGACTGTCAATTATTTGGAAGCCTGCACTCACAAACAAAAAAATCTCCACACCACAAGCCAGGCAAACACCTGGGCACAAACAGACACCTCCCCCCCATACCTCCAGCTCAAACACACCCCAACCAGGCACCCAGATGAAACCTAGCTTCCTAATAAATGATAGCCATCCATTTACTCGGAGCCAAGCCGCACTAAAAGCCTCCAATACAGGAAACACAATGTTGCCAGCCAATCAGGACAAAAAAAGCCACAAAACAGACAGAAGATATTAGAAACACCAATCAAGCAGAACACAGCAAACACAGACGTGGGAAAATACCCAAACAAAGCTGAATACCATACATGTAAGTACCCGCGAAAGCTTAAGAATACATACATACACACACACACACACACACACACACACACACACACACACACACATAGCGAAATACCAGTCATACGTCATCACAAAATCTCCAGAACCATAAAGCCCACAGACTTGAAATTTGCACATGTGTTCCTCTTGGTTCTTCTTTCTTCAATAAGAAAGGATTTTTCAAAATGACCATCAGAGCATTAGTATTTCATATATTATTATTAACATGCTCTAATGCTAAGGAGTTCTACTCCCCCTCCCCACCTGAAAAGAAATCTGTTCCAAATGCAAAATACAAGCAGCACCAAGCAGCTTTCACAGCACCAAGCAGCTTTAGTACAGAACAGTTGAGCTAAACCACACCCAGGCTCCTTGCCATCTCCTTCTTGCTCACACAGCAAATACTGTTTCAGTTTCCATGTTTCAGTTTCCAAACAGCCCTCAACTCTCTCACACACTGACAGGATGCTAGCCAGATGAATACCAGTGGATGCTGGTAGGCAGAGGCACAATTTCCCCTCCCTTTTTTTTTCCTCACCCAAAACTATATATCACATAGTTTTGTAGTGAAGCACGGGTATAGAACTGGTTTTCTATATACTATAGTTTTTACTTTGGACCAGTTATTCTCTCTCAGCCCAATTTACTTCACAGGAAAGTAAGGAGGAAGTGCTATGTATGCTGCCTTGAGCTCGTGAAAGGCAGCATATAAATCTAATCATTCAATAAATTAATCATGTTCTCCCCTAATCACATGTAAAGTTTATTTCAGTTATGTAGCAATGTAGGCATTTTCCCTATATGAAATATTGATTTATTTTTAACATCAATACTTCAAACATCTCTCAAGTAGGTCAGTTATTGCCAAGACAATGTTATAATCACCACTTAGTAAAAATATAACCGTTTTAAAACTATTACTTTTTCTTCAAATTCCCAGAGAGCAAAACCATCCATCTTTTGTTCTGTATTCAGTAACTTGAGCAGGTCATGCACTGAACAGAGGGTTGAACTTCCTGAGGTCTTCTCTATGAGCTTGGGGCAGGGAATGATACCATAATCCTGGGAGAAAGGGCCTTTCAAAGCCCAATGTGCAGACATAAAGGCTAAAATTTGATGCCAGTCACTCTTGCAACTCATTGATTCTACCGATTCAGAATACCGCTAATGGAAGGATCACCTATATTCATGTTGATGTACAGTACATATACAAGCATCCTTAGCTGATTCTGGACCACCCATCATGGACAGGGATGACCCAAATTTATGTTAGGCTCATCATAGGTCTCGTGATGAAGGCACCAGGCAAGAAACCGGGAGACGGTGAATTCTAGTCCAGCCTTAGACATGAAAGCAGGTTGGGTGACTTTGGGCCAGTCACACTCTCTCAGCCCAGCTCACCTCACAGGGTTATTGTTGTGGGGGGAAAAGGAGGAGGAAGGTGTTTTAAGTATGTTCAGGGAAAACACAGGGAAGGCAACAGATACAAGATTGAAGTCTATCTACAGATCTTCCCCTTCCCCCCACCCCCCACCCCAAATCCACCAAATGTAAATATACCTGGACTGAAATCTGTACTGAAATAATACAATGAATTGAGATTTATAACACCTCAATTTATATAACATAAAAAAGGGAAGGGGTAAACATCACCAAACCTAAATGTTAAAATCTGCCCTGAAATAATACAATGGATCAAGATTCACTGCATAACATTTCAGTAAAAGAGGGGGACCAGGCCAAATTTAAATATTACTGCATCGAAACCTTCGTTAAAGCAATGCAATGGATCAACCTTATAAACATTACAATTTTTTTTAAAAAACCCTCCTAAACTTAAAATATTCTTGCACTGAAATCTCCTCTGAAATATCCAATTACAGAGTTATAATGTTACAGTAAGAGGAAGGGGAAAGAACCCACTCACTCTCTCTCTCTCTGATATGTGTGTGTGTGTATTACACACAGACACACACATACTCTCTCTCTCTCATATATTTTATATATATAAATATACATACACAATCCTGCGCTGAAATCTGCATTTGGATCGAGATTTATAACATTACAATAAAAAAGGGGGACCCAAACGAGAAGGGGCCCGGCCTTCTCCCGAGCCTCCGCGAACAATAGCGGGGCAGCCAGTCCCGGGTCGCTCTTTTCGCTCTTCCAAAGCGAGAGGAACGGGGAAACGAGACCATCCCGCTTGGCCGTTCGGGCCCTTGTCGGAGCTTGCCTGCCCCGCCGCGGCCCGGGCCTGACATCCCTCAGGCCGGCCTCCCCAGCGCCTCCTCAGGCGGCAGGGGGCGGCGTCGGGACGGGCAGGAGGCTTCCTTCCCCGTCCCTCCCCTTCCCCACCTCCCTGCGCTTCGGAACATGGCGGCGGCGACGGCGATAACGGCGGCGAGGGACTGAAGCAGCCCGGCGCTCGGCCGCAGGTGAGCCCGCGGGCGGGAAGGCCGCCGCGCGGGGGAAGGACGAGCTCAGGGGGCGGGGGAGGCCTGGCGGGTACGGGACGCCTCCGCCCTGCGTAGGCCCGGCCCTCCTGGGGCAGCCCGGGCCATCCTGGCTGAGTGACAGCGGCCGGCCCGCTCTCTCTTCGGCGGGCTTGGCTCCTTCGCCGCGCACGGGCCTACGGGGTGGGCGCTTCCCTCCCTTGAGAGATGGGGTGTGGTGTGTGTGTTGTGAGGGGATGGGGGCGCCCCTGCCTCGGGGGGCAGCCCCTCGCTTCCTCGGGCGGGGTGGGGGTCTGGTCTGTCTCCTTCGCCTCGTCTTGGAGGAAGCCGAGCCTTTCCTCCTCGCCTGGCCTTCTGTGGAGCATCCTCCGGCCTGAGGCACCATGGCCTCCTTTCCTGGGGGGGGGGGGGGGGGGGGGGGGGGGGGGAGACGAGAAGGCTCTCCAAAGGAGACCCCAGAGAGGGTCTGAAGGGGCAGCCCCATCTGGAGGGCGCTCCTTGGGGAAGGAGGCCCCTCCAAATGGAGGCACGTGGGAAGGGGCTGTCCTGCGATGCAATTTGGGGAGGATGGTTTAGGGGTCCTGAAAAGGAGCCTGGTTGTGAGGTGGGGGGGAGTCAGGGGGGAGCTTTGGACCAGGGTTGCTAAATGGAGTCCGCAGGGTGAGGGGCAGCAGGGGGAGGAGGGGAGGCTGACATGAGAGCAGGACAGGGGGGAGTTGTTTTTCATGGAGCTTTTTCATGGCTTCCTGGGGTCACTTTTCTGTCTGCTGCAGAAATCAGGAGTTAAAGACCATTTGTCTCTTCCTAATAGATTCCTTGAATCCTTCCCCCTCCCGCTTCTGATTTGTTCCTCCTTGATAAGGATTTCCTCTGGTTCCTCTCTTGTCCTCTACTCGGCTCTGGAATACTACTCACTGATTCATCAGAAACCTTCCCTAAGTAATTGTTTGATGTTTTTCCCCCAAAACAATTTGGGATAGTGAGATGGGTGCTTTGGGCTTTCTTTCTTGTGATTAAAATGATGGAAAGCTGGCTTCAGACTAAAAAGAAATCCTAAGTATAAATAGAGCATATATGATTTTTTTAACTTGGTTCTTTAAAAAAAAAAAATCCAACTTTATTATTAGGTAAATTGTCTCCCTCTTGGGAGGCATTTGGCAACTGTAAGCCACCCAGAATTGTCTCCAGTGGGCAGCCATAATAAATGTAATAATAATGATACAGTAACAATTCTACTTACTGAAATAAATAGTTTCTCTCTCTCTCTCTCTCTCTCTCTCTCTCTCTCTCTCTCTCTCTCTCTCTCTCTCACACACACACACACACACACACACACACACACACACACATATACATATACACTTCTGCAGATTTAACTTGAATTGGCTACTTCACAAACAGGATAATCCATTTTATGGCTTTGCATAATATTTTCAACTGTCCACTAACCAAATGGTCTGGGTTAACAAAACACACTAATCTACAGAAAACTAATCAGTATTACAGGCAGCCAAGCTTAGCATGCTGTATGAATCCAGGCGCTAGTTTGGAACAGAATTGTTTAAATGTGTTGTATGAACTCAGCAATTTTGTTTACAGATGTATGTGCATATGTTTCGGATTGTCATGCAAGCATGCTGTTGTTACAGTTTTGGTGCCCATATCACGGTTACTTTTTGAAATTTAAATTATGTTTTTTTCTGATGCTTAATTTTAAATGTGGCTTACATGTTTGAACTTCAACCAAAAATATCACTGATCAATGCCAGTATTTTGTTTTAGAAATAGATTGATATACAAAATAAAGTTTCTAAATTCAGCCACATAGAAAGGGACCTTACTTTTCAAAAGCTATTTTAAGTCTGGGGTATGTCTATGGTAAAGAGCTTTATTACAGTGGTCTGTGGTATATTCCCTTGATAGACTAGATTTAATAGTCCCTTTGATTTTTAAAACCTGCTTGGCCTTTAATTTGCTCTGTCTTGATGGTTATTCATTCAACTGTAAATTTGGGTTACCTGTCAAGAACAGGGTACATGTAATCTATCAACAAAAGGATTGGTGTTGGCTAAACATAAATATTAGAAGAGGCCTAAAGGGGTAGCTATTTTTCCTCAGACAATTCCATATTACTGAAATGAAGACCATACAATTGGATGGACAATCATCCATTTTGTAGTTCAGATGCATAAAGCTGAAATGCTATTGCATGACTGAACCTTTTTCTGATTTAGTGATGCACAGTGAATATATAGTTAAAGTGCCAAATGTATCTATAAAAAAGATATAATGAAATTTCTCAAATTTTGCATAAAGAAGAAATCCTCTTTTCCCTTGCCTGGCTATTTTTTTCCTCAAAATCTTCCCTCGGCTTTTTTCACTCACTCTAAATAGAATTTTTTAAAATTATGAATTGTTTGGAGGTACCCGATGCAGCTGCCTTGCTGAAGATAAGAGGTTTTAATCTGGTTGGCAAATAAATGGGAGGTTATCTGAAAACCTTATGTAGGTTGCCTTAAATTCCATAAGGAGAGATTTTAAAAAAAAAATGTGGAACTCTGTCTATCACGCTGTGAAAGAAGAAAATGAACAATTTGTTTTCCAGACCACTAAGCACAGTTCAAAATGAAATTGCTTTAAGAAAGGGCAGTTTAAAGAAGACAATGGAAACCCTATCTTTTCATCAAGAAAAGCTGTGATTTTCAGTTGTGGTTTATTTTTCAAAAGAAAAAGCAAATCTTGAACAAGATACAGATGCTGAGATGGAAGACTTACCTTCTGAGCCCAAATATTGGAAGGTAGCTGTGGTTACATTTGCTGAAATAAAACTACCTAAAGCCCTTGCTATTATAATGCCTCTTGCGTCTTATATAATTTAATTTCACATTGGAAAGAGAGATAAAAGTTTATCCCTGGATTAAACGAAACAATGCTGAGGTATCTGTTTCTAGCATTTAGTTTAGACTTGAGGTGATTCTGTAGATTTGTGTCAATTCTGATTGTTTTGTTCTTGGAATTAAGCTCACAAAATAGTTTACTTGTCCCAAAAGTAATAACTGTCTTTAATATAAGGCTGTGAGTGCTCAAATTTACTTGGAATGGGCTTTGTGGGGAGTTTAAATCTGAAACACTACCAGGGAACATTGCAGTATTGCAAAATTGTCACCTGTGTATACCATTCTCCAGAGGTTTTGGGATTGAACTTCCACAGCAATCTGGCAAATGGTTAAATTATGGGAAGTGTATTCAAAAAAATATTGGAAGTCAAGATTGTCCATCCTTAATGTACACAATTATAAGCATGCTGCAGAAACTTACTAGAGAGAAAATTTCCTTTCTTTCTCATAATATAAGAACTACTAGTCACCAAGTAAACTGGAAGCTTTTTTTTTAAGTAAAGAACTACTAGTCACCAAGTAAACAGTAATTTTTAAGACAAGCAAAACTACCTTTTTGTACAATGCATTATTCAATAAATGTAAGTCATGGCAAATGAGGCTTGCTTCTAAAAAAAAGATCCACAGAGACGGGATTGTCTATGGTTGTTGGCTGTAATCATTAATGGGTTCTGCACTGGTTGGTGAGGAAAACAGCAAAGAAGATTTGGACAGTCTCCTATGCAAAAAAGAAAGCTGGATTAGATCCACCAGAAGTCTGGCATTTTTCCCCCATCTCCTGTTTTATGTTCTTGCATTCATAAATAGTTGAAACATTATTTGAATGACCTCTAAGAATCCTACCTTGATTAAGTGGCACTTAAAGGTGCTCAGTTTAAGCCAAGTTAGATGTAACATTTGTCACATAGCTTGAGATAACGTGTGATTGATGTTTTTAAAAAATAACCTCTAGCTGTTGCATTGGGAAATGGGCTAGGGGTGGGAATTAAATTCTTTCTGGAAAAGAATGATCTCCAAACTATTCACAATAAGAAAAAAGGCAGGGGGGCTGGCTATGTGTATGTGGAGATTACATATAAGCCATGAGCTAGCTCCCAAGATATTTAAACATCTCACTTTAATATACAATAGATGCTTCTGTGCCTTCCAGTGGCTTCGCTGATAGTCTGCAGAGCCAGAGGGAAGATTCAACGTTGCAAACCCAGTATTTATACCATAGGAAAGATACATGCTCAGCATTACAAGACAAGATAGAAAGACCTGCACATGGATTAGAGGACAAACAAAAGTATATGATATCATCAAGAGAGTAAAAGAATGGAAATGGAAATGGACTGGTCACATAGTAAGAAGAACTGAGGGCAGGTGGACCAAGGCAGTCATAGAATGGATAAAAAGCATACACAAGAGACCTAAAACAAGATGGATCAACAACATCAGCAAGTATTGTGTGCCCAATTGGCAAAGGAAAGCTCAGGACTATATTGATTGGACACACACGGAAGAGGCCTTCATTCTGCAGTGGATAGACAATAGTTGAAATGATGGTCATGATTTAGGATTCAGTACTCGGGGCTTCCAAAGATGCTTTCTTATCCAGAAAGCAAAGTGAAAAGGAGAATAAATTGAATTGCTAAACATGAGACTTAACACTTTCCCATTAATTGTGAAGTATCTTTCCCTTTTGTGTCTCCATGTCACAGGAAGTGGGTGTGGCTTCCTCTCCTAAGACTGGCCATTTGCAATGTTGCTGAAGGCTGCATATCTGGTTGGTATATATATTTTGATGGATTTTCCTGAGATGCTTTAGATGTTGCAAAATCGTTCTGCTTTCTGTAAAATTTAGAGATGAAATATCTTGGGAGGTCCATCACTTTTTATATATATATAAAAATTATTTATTTATATATATGTATATGTATATGTATATGTATATGTATATATATATATAAAATGTCCAAATGAAGTAATGGGTTCATTCTCCCTTGATTCTTCTAATGCTCAGCAAAATATAGATATTTTTACAAATTCTTAGAACTTTTAATGAGTATTTGATATTCAGGCATGAAGAAAATGCTTTTTTCTTCTTCTCAGAACAAGGCAAACTTTTTAAGATGTGTTTTACACACATACCATTTCTATCCTTGATCTGCAAGAATATATGCAGACAAGGGAGCGTTTAATTAGAATTCAGTTTTCACTTCCCTGGCTATTTCTAATCTGAAAATGGTTAACAACTGTAGTGTCTTCTAGTGATCGGAATAAATTGAATTCTCTCTTGGAGGTTAGTCAGTGTGTGTGTGTGTGTGTGTGTGTGTGTGTGTGTGTCCCTCCCTCCCTCTCTCTCTCCTGCTGTACTTTTTCAAAAAGTTGGCTCCTGCTCTGTTTTGCTCTTGTGTCTACAAGAGCAAAGCAGTCCAGGAATCTCTTCATGCTGTGTGGTTCCCCTCACCCTCCAACGCTGATAGGCCTTCGTGACCCTGTGAGTATGTTAGTCTTCCACCATTCAGAATAATAATATGTGTACACACACACACACACACACACTCAGCTTCTCTACTATTGGAGCATCTGATTCTGCACCAGAAATTACAGGAGGCTCCTAGTTCTTTGTGATAACTGTATCTAGGGAACTGATTAATGTATTGTATTGTACTGATTAATGAATTGCTGGAACTGTTCGTTGCTGCCCCATTGAGCAAGTTGTGAGCAGGCATAAAGCAGGGCTTCTCCTAATGTGGTGTTGGTAATTGACAGTGAGAGAAGAGAGGATCAGAGAGATGGTCTTTCCAAGTGCACACAATAATTGCTGTAGTGGAATTTATTAAAGCTCATTAGTCCTGAATCTTGCCCGTGATCTGATTCTTTAACATCAACAGTGAGAAAGGAGCCAAACTTGTTTTCCTTTCTTAGAATGTATAGCCCTCTTCTGCTGACAAAGATCCTTCTTGCCATCTCCCCAACGGGTCCCCCTCTCTCTGTCCTTGCAGAAGATATAGCCAAGAGACTTTTAGTAGCCAGGAAAATTGCATTTGCTCCCTGCCTCGTGGCATGTCTGTTAGCTCCAGGCTTGACCGGGCTGCTTGCCAGAAGTGTTTTGGCCTGTACTAGCCTTCCAGTTTTCCTTGTTATTTTGCAATTTTAAGAGGAGGCCAGTCATCAGGAAGAAGTCTGCATGGGAGCAACTCGGAAGAAAGGCTTGCTGGACATTCCCTGAAGTTCCTGGGACTATGGGATAGTGCTACATATAAATCCTGGTTATTTTCCAAAAGATTTTTAATAGGATCTTCTTGGACACATGTGCTCCAAAAAAAAAAGTATTTTGAACTTAGGGAGCATATTCTTGGTAACAGAATAAATGGATTCTGTTTTGATCCTTAAAGTCATATAAAGGAAAATCTAATTGAGTTGCAAGAATTTGAAAAGTATACATTAAAACATAATCATCAAATTAGGATGTTATACATCAAAACAAAAGTATCTGATTTTTGCATAAGACATCCAAACATGTTCATTTCAGGTTAAAGGGCATTTTAGAGTTGAGGTTATACATAGTCTGCTTTACCATAGTCTAGTCTGGAAGTCTGACTGATAAGTCACCTGTTGGCTTCTGGTGAAATCATAGATTGCATATACTATGAGGCTGACAAATAGGATTCTCAGCCATAGTTGCCACTTGACAAATCAAGAAAAAAAAGATATTTTTTTTAAAAAAAAACAGAAATCTATGAATGATAAACCTGTTCCTTCAAAGGGAGTACAATATCAAAGCAGCGAAGACAGTTATCCCCTACAAAAAAAAAACACTTCAAAAAAACAGAATGGAATGGTTACAAATAATTGATTTCATTCATAAGCCCTGGAGCTAAAATACAGATGTTTGCAAAGAATATTTGGTTTGAAGTTTGGAATTAAAGAGAACTTGATTTGCAGTAGGCTTTCTTAAAATTCTTGACCACTTCTCAAGACAGTTTTGTGTGTGTGTTCTTTTTACTTCCAGTCCTCTTCAGATTAGTAAACCTAAGCCAGTTGCAGAGGGAGGCCCTGCATCAGGCAATATAATGCGGAAGCCAAGCCCTCAGAAAGGTAAGTCATGACATTCTGTTTGTTAATCACTTCGATGAAATGACATATTAATAAGGCCATTGGTGAAGGGAGTGTATGCTCTTAAGCAAACATCCAGACAAGAAGGACATTGGGTTACTTTAAATACCAGCAAGCTAGAAGACCACTTCAAGTTGATTTTTATCCCTTTCTCCTTTCATGCCTTTTGTTGAGTTGTTGTTTCATCCTTTTTACCTCTATTGCGTACATGCTGAGACTCTCTTAGACAAACCTAATTCCTGCAATAAATATATATATTTTGGCCTCATTAAAGGCAAGGAGCTGCTCTAAGTAAAACTGTATAAGATTTTACCTTTATGGTGAAAACCCTTTTGATAAGAACATGGCCCTTCTCTAGATCAAATCAGGTCTGTCTAATCCTGCAGTCTTTCTCACCGTGGTTCTCTAGTGCAGGGGTGTCAAACTGAATTTCATTGAGGACTGCATCAGAGTTGGGTTTGACCTCGGGGGCGGGAAACGGGATGGATACCGGAATGGGCGTGGCCAGGGTGGGTGTGGCCAGATAGACACCATTCATGTCGGGGGCACCTGTGGTGGCCTGAGCTCTCTGCCAGAGAAAATGGAGCTCAGGAAGGCCCCCGTTTTCACTGGCAGAGACACCATGGGCCAGTCGTCACTGTTTCCAGGGTGGCCCTGTGGGCCGGATCCAGGCCCCGGGCCTTCAGTTTGACACCCCTGCTCTACTTGGTTCTCAGGAATTAAAAAAAATACTGTAATCCTCTCCTATATGTGTGTAACTAGTACTAAAGATCAGTGTTGTAATGAATGCTCTGCTAGTGATGCTGACAATTCACTTATTTTGCCTAGGGTGTGTAGTGAATGACAGCCTTTTGGATTTCACCCCTGCAAACTCCCTACCTTTTTGCTCATCAGTGACTTTTTCTTTTGCCTCTCATTTTTAAGGTAGTCCTAGATTGCCATTCTGTGAAAGGGCTGAAGGGAGGTCTTTTGAGCCTATACTGCCTCTTTGGCACCATATGCTTATAATCCCAGCATGGTGCAAGCCAGAACTATGTTGGCAGATGCCTCCTTGCCTTTTAATGAAGCATGAAACCAACAACCAGGCTACCTCACAGCACTTTCCTCTTAGAGGCTGTAATCTTTTCTTCTCCGAGAGAAATTATGCTTGGGTTGTGTGACCTATGCACATCAGACAGATTTTCCTTAAAACTCTGTTTGTTAACTGCTCTCTTTTGCTGCGGCCTCCTCCTACCCCCACAGCTAATCATCTTTGGGAAGAAATATTTCTGATTAAACCAATATTTTGTTTGTTTGTTTGTGTAGCTTTCTGCTAAATTTACCCAGAATAAAATAAGAGGAGATTGTAGTGAAGAGCACAGGGTTCCGCTCTCCACTAATGTCACTCTTCATTTACTACAGAAAGTAGGGTAGCTTTTGGAACCATTTCTCATGCCTGGTTTATGCTGCTGCTCGCTGCTTTTCCGCTTTTTCCTTCCTCCTGCTTTGAATTGCTTTGGTGTCTCTGATGGCTCCTCCCTCAGGATTGGTAGCCCCCCTCCCTCTTGCCCCTTAAAATGAGAGCGTATGGAGGAAGAGAGCAATCCAGGTGAGCCTGCTGAGAAGCCAGGGATAGTAAAGATGCTATTTGATTAGTTAAGACACAACCAGGCCTCCACGAATGGGATGTAAGCCTCGTGCTCAGTTTCTTATCGTTTTCACAGAGTACAAATCCTCAGCTGAAACTGCTGCTGTGGTCTCTGGTTATGACTACTGTAAAACACAGTTCAGAACTAGCACCTGTGTTTTTAACCAGGCAGCTTGTTCTCCATGCACGTGTCTCTCTCGAAAGCCTTTGGAGGATATACAGTATATACAGCTGTTGTCATTGTCGCAGGGTTTTTTTGGCAGCAGCTTCTCTTTTCTCACTTTGAAACATCTGTCCTCATCAGGGTTTGTTTCTCTCGGAGTCAGTGACAGCTTGCAAATACAGTTTCATCTTTTGAAAGCCAGGAGATAGTTTTCTCCATAGTTTTCTGCAGTCAAAAGGCCAATAGTTCCCAAACAATGTCTAGAGAGTATTAGAATTTTCAGATGAAAACACTGTAAGGTCTTGTGAAATATTGTGTCTCGTTTGGCATTTAATTGAGAATGAATGAATGTGTGTTTTTATTTATTTATTTAGACCAAGGATGCCATGGTGTCTAGGCATTTGATTGCGGATTCCTGGTTTTGGCAGCCTAACCCAAACCCGTTGGGGTGGGGGGAAGGGATACATTTGCAAAATGTCAGCTACAGTATTACAATCAAAAACTCTTTAGCCCATATGGCAACCTTCTTTCTCTATCTCTCTGTCTCTCTCCCTCCCTTCCTCCTTTTCTCTCTGTCTCTCTCTCTCTTTCTCACTCCCTCCTTTGCTCTCTGTCTCTGTCTGTCTCTGTCTGTCTCTCCCCCCTCTCTCCTCCCCATACACACACACAGAGTGGAACTTCTGACATGATTCTGTCCCACCATCCTGAAGATTTATCCACATACCCGTGGACATGTCTGTCTTGTGGCAGCCCTTGAGAATTTTAGAAGATGATGTGGCACTCAAATGAAACAAACAAAATGTTAAACAGTTATGACATAGCTACTTTCCAAGCACATCTAAATTATATTAAAGTAAACCAAAGTATCTTTGCAATCCCCAAGGCATGTCACAAGTTATAATATTGTTATAACTATAAAAGTTGTAATACTGTTACGTGATTAATATGTGGTTATTTTCTTTCTACTTGCTTTTAATGATCTTAGCAATAGATTGGAAAGATGGCAAAAAGCACAAGTATGGACGACTATCTGAACCCACTTCTCAGTATCAAGGTATGGATGCTTCTGTTTTCTTGTTTTCTTTGCAGGAGAATTAGGACATAATTGTTCAAGAAAAGGGAATGACAAATAGATGAAATGATCTCATTTAACGTGTCCACAAGACTGCGTTATACTTCACTTGATGAATTAAAATGAATTCTAGCTCCAGAGTTTCATGTAGAGCCATGATGGCGAACCTATGGCACGCATGCCACGGGTTGCACACAGAGCCATTTGTGCTGGTACACGAGCTGCAGGAAAACTTACTTCACTGGACATGCACACGCCTCACAGCTGGTTTTCAGCCGGTTTCAGGCCTTTTTTGGCCTCCCAAAGGCTTGAGGAAGACTTCAGCAGGCTTTGCAGGCTGAAAACTAGCCTGGTTTCATCACTTCCTGTTTTTCTGAAAATACCAGGAGTGATGAAATGGAGCTAGTTTTCGGCCTGCAGAAGCCTTCCTCAAGCCTTTGGGAGGCCGAAAAAGGCCTCAAACTGACTGAAAATCAGCTTGAGGCGCAGTGCAGGTAAGGGGGTGAATGGGTGGGGATTACATACGCATGCGTAGGGGGTGTGGGGGGGTCACATTGCCTTCTGGGTGCTGGCACGCGAGTGTGAGCATGCAAGTGCGTGCACAATTTTTGGCACAGGAGCCCCAAAAGGTTAGCCACCACTGAAGTAGAGGCTTTCCTTAGCTCTTTTAAAAGAGTTCAGGAAAAGATGCCAGAGACCTCCAAGGCTTTATAGAACAGATGCTTTTACTTGAAGAATCTTGGTCTCTGTACTGATAAAGAGATCATAATCATAGGCGTCTGTTCTGGGCAAGCAGTTTGCAAAAATGCAGTTTGTGATCCACAATAAGGGATACATATAGCTAATGAGTGCAATATCTCCGATGGACTCAGAACTCAATGTTTGCATATAAGCATAAGGAAGAGTGCAGAGAAGAGCAACAAAGATGGTTAGAGGACTGTAGGCTAAAACATGTGAAGAACGGTTGCTGGAACTGGGTATGTCTAGTCTAGTGAAGAGAAGGACTAGGGGTGATATGACAGCAGTGTTTTGATATCTCAAGGGCTGCCACAAAGAAGAGGGAGTCAAGCTATTCTCCAAAGCCCCTGAGGGCAGGACAAGAAGCAAAGGGTGGAAACTAATCAAAGAGAGAAGCAATCTAGAACTAAAGAGAAATTTCCTGACTGAGAGAACAATTAATCAGTGGAACAACTTGCCTCCAAAGTTGTAAATCTCCAACACTGGAAGTTTTTAAGAAGAGATTGGATAACCATTTGTCTGAAGTGGTTTAGGGATGCCTGCCTAAGCAGAAGGTTGGACTAGAAGACCTCCAAGGTCCCTTCTAACTCTGTTATTCTGTCCCATTCTATTCTATTCTAAGCATACAAGCTCAAGCTTTTTAAAGGTTCCAGGGCTTATATGTGGGAAGGATGTAACCCTCTTATCAAATTTCTGATGATGACCTTCTTTTGTGCAGGCCGTACTGTTCAGCTTGTTGACTTTGATAAAGTGGTGGTCATGAGTCCAGATAACTTCAAAAGGAGGATTGGATTCTTAGAGGGGTGGCTTTTTTTATCACTATTGGCCTATGATGTCTAACTGAAACCCTTAAGCCAGGACCCCTTTACTACTAATATCTAATATTCGGAACCAACAGTAGGGAAGAAAATTGCCTTTTTATTTTATTTACTGTGGAGACATGATTAGACGGGATATGTTTAATTAATTGGCTTGTATATGTTATATATGTGTGTGTGTGTGTGTATGCTGTTTATGTGAGTTGGTTTGCATCTTTTCTTTTGAGTTAATTTTGCTGCATTCCCATAGTATGAGCCATATGGAGTTGGCAATATGAGCAAGCCCTTAGAGAAAAAAGGGCAGGTTGCCACTGAAAACAGTTGGATGATTATCAAAATGTAACGAAGCTAATTGTTGCATGAAAAACTATAAAAACAAATGATGTTTTGTTAATCCTCTTATAAACTGAAAAACCTTTTTCCCCCTATATTAAAATGTCATGTAATTAAAGTGTGAAGTTCTATACTTGAGATGGATATTGTTTAAAGTACAGCGTTTGACTTTTCATACTGGCTCAGCTTATACACCATAGTAAATCAAAGAATCAAATATAATAGGATTATCCATACAACAACCTATGCCCCATTAAATAAATCATGTTGGGGTTTGACGTGATGGTCTGAAATACAAAATATCCAAACTAGCCAATACCTGTTTTAGATAACATGAGAATATTGCCAAAATGTCAGGTTTGAGTGTTCCCTTCTCCTTCTTGAATTCATGATATCCCATATCCTGACACCAGTACTATCAACATATCCTTGGGAATGATGAGCCAAGGGAAATCTTGTTATAATAATACAAAAACAGTAAAATGTCAGTACGTTGAAGTACACATTAGAGAAGGGGACTTGATTCATGCCTGCCATTTACATTGCCATATTTCAAACATAACAGGTAATTCAACCCTAACAGTCCATCTTGAATTCTTTGTTTGGAGGAGGAAGCTGTTTGTGGCAGAAATGCCTTTACTTCTGATATTTACAAGTTGCTTTGGGAGACTTGTTAGCTAAGAGTGAGATAGAATGTTAAAAAGTAAGCAACAATATTTTTAACAACATGCAATAATACTGGGATTCCAAAGGCATGGAGAACATTTTATGAAGAATAAAGGAAGAAGAATATAAAAGCATGTCAGAATTAGAATTATTTTATTGGCCAAGTGTGATTGTACTCTGATTCCATTACAAAAGAAAATCCACTTGTTAGAATAAATATACTGCTGTGTGTCCCTGGGAAAATGAAACTGGAGCATAATATAAGGGCAGCACATAAACTAAAAGCTAAATTAGATTTAAGCTTTGGCTAGGTTAAACATTCTCCCCTTGTGCTGATCCTTTTGTGACTAATGCCCAGGTAATTTAGCATGTCTCAGACTCCATCCAGATCAAGAATTGTTGAAAAAGAGTTGATTTTTTTTTTTCTGCAAGGAGGCCAAAAGGATAACCAGCCCGGCAACAAGCTTATGGAAGACTGAGCAGCTTTTCCAAACTTGCCTCCAAACCTTTTGTCACAGCCAGCCTTTGTTCTCCCTCTTCTCTTCAGGTCATTTTGCCTGGGATAAATACTTGAAAGAGACATGTTCCATCCCAGCTCCTGCCCATTGCTTCAAGCAGGTAATGGAGCATTCCATGTTCTAAAAGAGTTGGGATGAAGGGGTCTGCTTCTAGTCGGCTCATATACAAGTATGGAATAGACTCCTCTGCCTTCTGTTGGTGGGAGAAGAACAAACAAAGCAGGTACCCGGTTGTAAATTCTATACTAGAACAGAACTGAAAAAAAAAAGGTGCACTATAAGTACTAGAGTTGATGAAATAGCTCAGGAACCTTAGTTCACAGGTATTGCTGATTTAACATAGGCTGTATGTACCTACGGGTACAGGTAGTCATCACCTTACGACTACAACTGGGACCAGAATTTCTGTTACTAACCAAAGGCTGAGTCATGCTCAATTTTACAATATTTTTTGCCACAATTGTTAAGTGAATCACTGCAGCTGTTAAGTGAATCACTGCAGCTGTTAAGTGAATCATGCCATCATTAAATTAATCCAGCTTCCACCCTTGACTTTGCTTGTTGGAAGCCAGCTGGGAAGATTGCAGGTGGCGTTTACATGACTCCAGAATGCTGTAACCGTTGTAAATACTTGCTGGTTTCTGCATGCCCAAATTTTGACTCTGGAGATGCTGCAGTGGTTGTGTGAGCACCAGCTGTAAGTCACTTTTTTGGTGCTGTTGTCACTTCAAATGGTCACTAAACGAGTAGTAGTAAGTTGAGGACTACCTGCACTTCCAGATAAGACATTTCCTGTGTTTTCCTTACAAAATAATTCCAGGAAAAGGGAATTCATTGACTTATTGCTTCCCACTTGTGACCTCTCCCTCTTCTCTTTTTCCACACTGCTTTTACTTGTTTTTAACATTGTCATAATATCTGAGCTCAGATGTGACCTGCTGGGTATTGTCTTTGACTAGAATTTTAAAATAAAAGCCATTTATGCATAGATGGAATGCACTGTAGTAACCAAAGGGAATAATTGCCCCCCAAAAAGTCAATGTATAATTCTTAGCATGCCCGTTGTTTTAATATCATTTGCAAAGTGAAAATACAAGAAGCAAAGACTTTGGAGTTCTGTGGAAGTATCAGATGTAATATGCTTGTAAAGGCACTGGGGGTAATTCCTCGCTTGTTCCATTCAGTGGGATCAAATAGGCAATATCATGGGAATTGGGTAAATGGTCTGCATAAGGCAGCTTGCATAAGGCAGCTTGCCATGACCTCAGGAGTGTTTAATGAAGAAGGTAAGCATGGAACTGTTTTAGTAGTAATAAAGTGGGACAGTTTGGTTGGAGTATGAAATTCTGTCTGTTTTACCTCAAGCGATACTGAAGAACAAAAGGAAGAGGAAAAGTTTAGATTTTAATGTCTTCAGTGGAAGAGAATTAATCTTCCATTCATGGTTGGATTTTCCTCTCTTCCCCCATTGCTTATTCTGTTATATCTCTTGGCATACTGATTGTTAATCAAAGCCCCAAAAGTTTTATTGATGTTCAGATGCCAGGAACAATGCTGTTCTGAATGAGGAGGAAGGAAGAGGAGTTTGGGGAAAGCATAAAATGAACTGCCTAAAGGACAAAGTGACCAAAAGCCTTGTTCTCCTCAGTCTTATGCCCCACCCAGCAATGAATTCAAGATCAGCATGAAGTTAGAAGCCCAAGACCCCAGAAACACCACGTCAACTTGTATTGCCACTGTGGTGGGGCTGACAGGTGCCCGTCTCCGATTACGTCTCGATGGCAGTGACAACAAGAACGACTTCTGGCGTCTGGTAGATTCTGCAGAAATCCAGCCCATTGGCAACTGTGAAAAAAATGGAGGGATGCTCCAGCCTCCTTTAGGTGAGTAGAATTAGAATTAGAATTAGAATTAGAATTAGAATAGAATAGAATAGAATAGAATAGAATAGAATAGAATAGAATTCTTTATTGGCCAAGTGTGATTGGACATACAAGGAATTTTCTTGGTGCTCTCAGTGTACATAAAAGAAAAGATAAATTCATCAAGAGTCAAGAATCATTAGGTACAACACTTAATAATAGTTATAGGGTACAATAAGCAATCAAATCATACTAGGAAACAGTCAATAAAAATCGTTAGGATACAAGCAACGAGGTTACAGTCATACAGTCATAAGTGGGAGGAGATGGGTGATAAGAAGGATGGGAGGATTAATAGTAATAGTAATTCAGACTTAGTACATAGTTTGACAGTGTTGAGGGAATTATTTGTTTAGCAGAGTTCGGGGAAAAACTGTTCTTGTGTCTAGTTCTGGTGTGCAGTGCTCTATAGCGTTGTTTTGAGGGTAGGAGTTGAAACAGTTTATGTCCAGCTGAAGCTTCCTTTGGCCCAAAAAAGGATTACTGCTTTCATCAATACCAGGAACAACCAGTGTTGTGCTGCAGCTGCCAAAAAAGCCAACACAGTTCTAAGCTGCATAAACAGAGGGATAGAATCACGATCATGTGAAATATTAATACTACTTTATAATGCTTTGGTAAGGCCACACTTGAAATACTGCATCCAGCTTTGGTCACCATGATGTAAAAAAGATGTTGAGACTCTGGAAAGAGTGCAGAGAAGAGCAACGAAGATGATTAGGGGACTGGAAGATAAATCATAAAGAATGGTTGCTGGAACTGGGTATGTCTAGTTTGATGAAAAGATGGAATAGGGGTGACATGACAGCATTGTTCCAATATCTCAGGGGCTGCCACAGAGGAGAGAGAGTCAAGCTATTCTCCAAAACATCTGAAGGCAGGAGAAGAAGTAATGGGTGGAAACTAATCAAGGAGAGAAGCAACCTAGACGAAGAACATTCCTAACAGTGGAACAACTTGCCTCCTGAAGTTGTAAATACTCCCAACACTGAAAGTTTTTAAGAAGGGATTGGATAACCATTTGTCTGAAATGCTATAGGGTTTCCTGCCTAAGCAGGGGGTTGGACTAGAAGAGCTCCAAGGTCCCTTCCAACTCTGTTATTCTATTCTATATACGGTGTTTGCTAATCTAGGAGATCTCTAGTTTTACTAACTGCCTCTTCGTTGTGGTTAGTGTTGGTAGAGGAAGTCCCATCTCTTTTATATAAATCACTCACCATTTTCAGAAAAGCTCCTGCTTATTATTATTAGCTTCTGCTAATGCTGAAGAGGAGAAAAAAAATCCCTCATGACTTCAATAAACCACAAGCACCTGGTGCTTTTGCCATATCTAACAGAAGACTCCTGAAAACGAACTCTATAGGAGTCTTGCTTTGTCTTCCTGCAAAGCACATTCTGTTATCAATTCCTAAATTTGCTGAGGTTAATTCTGCTTTCCCTTTGCTGTCCGTGGTGGATTCTTAGGAATTACTTCCCAAGTTGTAAGCAAGTCAACTCATATTAGCTGAGGACTGTTTAGCCATCTCAAGGACTTTCTTTTGTTTGCTGTATTGATTGCAAAAGATCTTAGTCTGTTCGTTCTTACGTCATTTTGTTCTTATCACATGTAACTAGGATAGCAGCTAGTCCGAAAGTCAGTTTAAACTAAATTTAAATATTTTAAAGGCTTTTGATCCAGTGTAGGTCATGACACTGAATGTAGCTAATTGATTATTCCTTGAACATTTGACTTACTGGTCTGGAAGTGTGTTTTCATATAATTCTTACTGTTTATCTGAGTAAGGGTGGTGCTATTGGAATTGGTGGTAGAATATGTTAAAATTAAAGAGTCATCGTTCTGTTTTATTGAACTACATCAGCACCACTTCCTTTGACTCCCTTTGTTTATTGCCATTATAGTTATGAATTTTCCATTTTGCACTAAAGTTTTCTTGTCAGGATTATTCTATTCTGTTTCTCATGTCTGTAAATGCTGTACTTCCTTTACACTTCCATAGATTAATGCCCTGTTGAAAGATTTACTAAGCCTTGTTACTGGGAGATCAATATTACTGAATGCTGTATTGGTGCCTTCATAATGGAAGGATGACTGCTAGAATGCCCTCAACTGCAGCTTCTCTTTTAACAGCCTCCGTCTCCACTTCAGGTTTTCGTCTGAATGCTTCCTCTTGGCCTATGTTTCTTCTGAAGACGCTGAACGGAGCGGAAATGGCTCCCATTCGGATTTTCCATAAGGTACTGTAGCATGCAGCCTTTTTCTGATCCCTGGTTCCATTTGTTGTGAGAAATAAGTCTGGCTATTTCTGCTTGATACACCACATTGGAAAAAATATATTTATTTGGTATATTTATACAGTTACCCATCTGCTGAGGCACACATAAAAACAGAACAGGAAACAACCAAACACCATCACAATCCATTACATAAAAAATACCAAGTCAAGGCCCCTAAAAAAATTTCATTAGCACTTAACAGTTTAAACTGCACCCACATGACGGCTCCGTTAGCCCCCTGGTCTAGTGCTTCTGGAAGGCTGTCTGGTTGTCCATATTTGGGAGGGGGCTGTTCCCCAGGACAAGTGCCATGATACAGAAGGCATGTTTCATTTGGGGCCCAAAGCTCGTCCACTGTCCAGTTTGATGGGACAGGCAGAAACCCATCAGGGAGAAGCAGACCCGCCAGTAACTTGGCCCTAAGTTACTCGCTTTTTGTACGATCAGCATCTTGAATTGTATTTGGACAGCTGCTGGGATTTCTGGATGAGGTTCCTGTGAGTAATGTCTGTAGGCTGAAGAGATAAATCTTGGGAGAACTGTGTCTCTGTAGGCAATAAAATGGAATCGGGTTAAGTCGGGATTCATTCTGTGTGAACGTGTTTGTGTTAAGATTAAAGGCTAACAAGAGGGAAAGCTGAATATAGAAAAATCCATTTAAGGATTAAGGTGGGTGCAAGAGATACACTTGAGAAAAAAATGGCTACCAAACAATTGAGGATCTAGGGGTGTGCAGGTGTGGGAACCAAGATGTTAGGCTGTGTTACGCTTATATAGATGACTGGAGTCTAGCTTGGTAGAAACTGCTCTTTATCCTTTTTGGCTTGCTTTAACTGCAACAAAGGAAATTTATATAATCAAGTTGAGTCCTACATTTCCTTAGAGTGTGCCAGGTTTTAGTGAGAATTATTGCAGGTGTCTGACAGCAACCTTGACATTTGGGAGAAATTTCCTGACAACAGGAAAAGGGAAGGAATGTTAGAAGAGGGAGGGTTGGTTGGCTATTTCAGGAAGTCTGGACTTGCGGTCATAATGTTCAAGCCTCCTTTTAAAAAACCAGGATGTATTTTTAACCCCCTTACTTTAATGCTGCCCAATGGAACAGATACTGCTCAGAGAGCAGAATGCTGTTTCTCTTATTATACTGTGACATGTCTGTTCTCCCTAATTTTCAAATGGGGCACCTGATACTTTTCAGCACATCTCTGTTCTGTCACCATTCAGGATCCCTTGGTTTGAACTAAGTTATCCTTTCAGTGAACTTAGATAAAATCTCCCCAGATATAGCCCTCCTGTGCAGCATGATTTCTTAAAATCAAGTCAATTTTTTTAAAAAAAAAATGGTATCTGGCTATTATTTCTCAGATGTAGAACCTAATCAGATTTTTTTTAAAAACCAGAATTTCACAACGCATCTGAAATTGAGCTGTGAAGCATTTGAGTCATTCTGATGCAGAATCTTGACCTTTTATCATGCCTTGTGCATGTTTTGAGAAACATGACTAGACAAGTCTGGACCTACGGTTGACTTAAGGATGCTTACTGGACCTTTCTCCCCTAGGAGCCACCATCTCCATCCCAGAATTTCTTTAAGATGGGGATGAAACTTGAGGCTGTAGACAGGAAGAACCCACACTTCATCTGCCCAGCCACTATTGGTGAGGTACGGGGTTCTGAAGTCCTTATCACTTTTGATGGCTGGAGGGGAGCCTTTGATTACTGGTGCCGCTATGATTCTCGTGACATCTTCCCCGTTGGCTGGTGCTCACTGACTGGTGACAATTTACAGCCCCCTGGAACAAAAGGTAAGTGCACCATCACAGTTTCTACCACTGTTCACCCATCTATATCTCATATCTCTATGAGATTGATCAGAAAATCAGAGAGGGGGGCATTCAAAATGGCCTGGGCCAATCCTTAAAGTACTACCTAGTAAGAGGATGCTACACCTTGGTCATTTTAGTAAAAGGAGGGTAGCCAATGACATCTCTTCCTTTCAGGTGTAACCTAATCTAGGAAGACAAAGCAACAGTGATGGTGGTTCCTCCAAGCTAAAAATGGTTGTTTAATTCCAGATCCTTTAGTAAAACATCTCTATTAGACATAATTTAATCTTGGATGAAAGTGCCAACTTGCCATGTGTCCCAGAGTCCTGACTGAAATATAAGGGAAGTGTGCCTCTCTGCCAGCTTTGTATGCCAGGTTGTTTTGTCACATAGCCAGCTAGGATTGAGGAACAGGGCAAGGGGTTGGCTCTGGTTTGTAGAAATCCTCCCTGATCAGAGAGCTTACCAGCATTCTGCTGTATTTTTATTTTTTGTATTCTCTTTTCATTTTCGATTTTGTTTGCCGGAGTAGAAAGGCAGAGTATAAATCCAATAAATTAACAGCCCTGGAGAAAAAGATGGCAGTGGAAGAACGGCACAAGAATGAATATATATCTCCAATACAGCATTGCTGGTTTGGATTAAATCAGCTTTTCTCTACCTTTAGAAGACAACTGTTTTTTATTTTTATTTTTTTATTTTTCCATGTATTTATTGCATTGGTTACAAATCTTAATAGCATTGGTTACAAATCTTAATATTTCATCAGTGTCTGAATTAAGAATTATTGAGAAAATTTTATAGTTGTAATGTTCAGCCTATTTCAGTAAACATTCCTGTTGTAATGATTGCTATAAATTCATGTTTTATAAAATATGGTGACAGAAAGAATAATAATACCTTCAGTGTCTTTGACAGCAGAAGATCTGCAAGCTGTCCAGGGAACCCTAATGTTCCATGGAACATAGTTTATTACACTCTAAGTTACTTGTTAAACCAAGCTAATTTTAGTGAAGAACATGTTTGTTTGCTCATTTATCTATCTTTTGAAAAGTCCCCATTATTGCACTAGTGCATTAGTGGCCACTTCTCTTAGTGGTCTTCTCTTGCCCAGAGTTAGATGATTTGTAACTTCCCAGGGAACTATTTAGGATTTGTAAAGGTGGCTTACAGGCCTTTAGACTAAAGAGCGTTGCTTTGAGTGAACATAGCACTAGCATGTAGACATATATATCGCTTCACAGTGCTTTACAACCCTCTCTCAGTGATTTACAGAGTCAGCATATTGTCCCCCAAAATTTGGATCCTCTTGAGGTCGTAGAAAGGATGGAAGGCTGAGTCAACCTTGAAACCCTGTCAGGATCAAACTCCAGGCTGTGGGCAGAGTTTGCTTGCAATAGTGCACTTTAACTGCTGCACCACACTACATTTTGGTAGTGTGAGAGATTCCACTGAAGACTCCACTGAAGAACTGCCTGTCTCTGTCCTGCTCCTTCTCTGCATCCTTTTCTCTTTTGGCCTTCATCTCCATTTGTACTCACCCCATTAGATGCTTTGAAATCAAAACCCTGCTCCAGTTAGCATCAATAATAACAACTGCCATGTATTAGTGCTTCCTTTCATTTTTGTTTAGGTTGACCGTTGCTGGATCCCCATAATACTAACAATATATTGCAACTCTGATCTGAGTGCTGGCAATTCCACCACAAACACTGAAGTAAGCAGTAGCAATGTAGTCACACATTTTCCTTGATTCCTTGAACATACACCGAGTTTAGAAGCAGGTGTGGAATATTCTTCTGGAATTTCTGGAATTTTTGACTAGGACAAAGTGCAATAATAAAGGGCCCAAAGCATTCTTTTCTCAAGATTGCAAACATATTCCCCCCAAAAATATACAGGATTGCAAAGGAAGATGCCATTACCTTCTGGCACTTTGCTGGGATGCTGTGCTGCTTTTATCGGTGCTGATAAATCTTCCTCGTCTGTTCAAATCACCATAAGATTTAGCAGAGGCGGTATTCAGCAGGTTCTGACTAGTTCTGGAGAACCGGTAGCAGAAATGTTGGATAGTTCGGAAAACCGGCAAATCCCACCTCTGACTGGCCCCGCCCCCATCTATTCTCTGTTTCCCGAGTCCCAGCTGATTGGCTGGGTCTTCTTTTGTTGCCCTGCACAGGAGAACGGAGCTGGAAAGTAGGTTAGTGGGGCGGGGAGGGAATGGGATTTTGCAGTAACCTTCCCCCAGGAGTGGAAAGGGAATGGGGATTTTACAGTATCCTTTCCCTGCCACGCCCACCAAGCCACACCACGCCCACAGAACTGGTAGTAAAAAAAAAATCAAATCCCACCACTGGCAGAGGCCCTATATGGCTTAGAGTTGCCCACCGAACAAAATTGCAAGTTTTGATACTGTTTTAGAAAGCAAAACTTTGGAATCTGTTGGAGTTGGGTGGCTTTTAAATTCAGGTAAATAAATCAAATAAATATATCCACTAGTTCTGTTTACAGTGTATGTTAAAAACTGATCTCGTGTAAATTAGAAGATTGTAGTTCAAGCTCATTCTTTGTATTAATTTGTAAATCCATTCCATCCCTTCAGCAGCAATACTTAATTTTCCCAGCTATTGACCCATTGCAAGAAACGATCTATAGTTGGATTGTAGCTTAGTGGTGGAAAATGTGCTTTATATGCTAAAGATCCCAAGGTTAACTGCAGTTCAACAGTAGAAGCTTAAATGGGCAGTGGTGTCCTACAATGATATGAGTTTTCTCTAATCTGATGTCCTCCTAGTTAGTTTACACAACCCCATGCCCTTGGGCATGCTAGTTGAGGATAATGGGAGGTGTGGGAGAGCTGAAGACAACTATTCCACGGATATCTATAGTCTGCAAATTGTCCTTCTTTGGTTATTACTGTTCAAGCATATCAACTGATAATGCAAGCTTTGAAAATAGTTGAAAAATGAGTATATGCTGATATTTTAGGACTAGAGTTTGGCTAGTTGGAAGCAAAAAAAACTCTGGAGCATTTTAGCTTCTTTAGCACTAGAGGGAGCAAATTATCTCTTCGGTAATCTTGAGTTTGCAGGAGCTGCCAGCTTCATATATGTAATAACATTTAAAACAAAGCTCTAATTTCAAGGATTCTTGCCTCGTGATCCTGTACACACAGTTTTAGTAACCATCAGAATAACTGTGAATCGGTATTTCAGGGGGCTGATGGAGAAATTCAGAAAAATCCCAATGTCGAAAATTGAAAATGGCAAATGTATTAATCTTCTATAGTTTGCTTTTTACTTCTTACTACCGTGTTTCTCATATAATAAGGCCGGGTCTTATTTTTTTTTGAGCCCCGAAAAAATGGCTAGGCCGTCTTTTCCGGGGTGACTTAATTCCCCCCCCCCCTTGCATCTTTGGGTGGGCGGCGACGGCTTGGATGTTGACCTCGGCGTTGGTGGGGCACTTTGTATCGGGTTCAACGCAGGCAGCACCATATCCAGGTGTGCAACAAAAGTACTTCCTAACGGCAAGCCCCCCGACCATTTCCCCCCCATTTTGCATGTTTTAATATAGGCCTTAATTTGTGGGGAGGGGCTTAATTTCATTTCATGCCTATAAAACATGTTGGGACTTCCTATTGGGGGAGGCCGTATTGTTGGAGAAACAGGGGATCTATAATTACCTATCAACATTTAACCAGTTTTTGATAATTACTCCAACATGTTGATGACATTTTTATGGACATATATGCATATCACAGGAACAATTAACCATCTTTTTTTTTTTTTTTTAAAGGATTAAGATTCATTCTTCTCTCTTTGTTTGCATCTAATTTTCAAAGATTTTTTTTTTTTTCAGGGAGTGAGAAACTGGCAAGCCAGATTCTCGGTTCCTATTTTTTTAGCGTGGTCAACTAACAACTGATCTTGCCTCAGCTAATGATCCCTTCACATGCCTCTTGGCTGACAAGAGGTGCCATTTTCAGATGGAGCCTTTCTGCGTAATCTTCGTTGCTGTCTTGGTTTTAGGACTTACGCAATGATTGTGTGCTGCTTGTTGCCCTGTTGTAAATCTTCCAGATCATGGAGAGCAAAATGAATGGTTAGTCGTAAAGGAGGATGCCTTTATCAGCAAGAACAGCTCAGGCAAATAATCTTTGTTATGGAGAAATTCTACAGAAAAACAGTTTGTTTAGTCGCCATTCAAAGTTTACAGTGATACTGAAAAAAAGCGGCTTTTGAACAATTTTCATACTTATATCCACCGCAGCATTCCCCTGGTCACATGATCGAAGTTCAGAAGCTTTGTAACTGGCTCATATTTATATTCATATTCAGCATCCCAGGGTCGTGTGATCGCCTTTGGGTGACCTTTTTACAAGCAAAGTCAGTGGGGAAGCCAGATTCATCTAACAACTGCATCACTAACTTAACAACTGCAGTGATTAACAAAGGTGGCAAGGAAGGTCGTAAAATGGAACAAAACTCACTTAACAATTCTCTCACTTAGCCAGATAAAAGTTGGTCTCAATTGTGGTCGTAAGTTGAGGACTACCTGTAATTAAAAAGAAATGTTCAAAAATTACTGGCAAAAATCGACGTGTACTGAATTTTTAACTGTAACATGCATCACCCTGGATCAAGCTGTACTCTTTGGATTCAGAGTCAACACTAATGAAGCTGGATTTCCTGGCATTCTGAAGCAGCTGGGAGACAGGATGATAAGAGTTAATTGTCTTTGGACAGGCTGTGAGCTAAAGGCAATTTTCTGCATTATCAAGAGATCTGGAATGTGAAGAGTAGGGTTTCAACCTTGGTACCCTTCCAGCTGGCAGAGACGCAGGGAGGTCTTGCCAAGCAAAGGAGACTTTTTAAAAAGATGCATTCTTTTCATTGCTGTGCCAAGGGCAATGAAAGTTACAGCACTGGAGCACAACTACAGGCATCTTTCCCAGTTTTCTTTGTTCTGGTTGATGCAGTCACCCATTCAAACAACTTTATTGTGCTTAGCAGGCATGCAAAAGTTAATTGTTTTTAAAGTTACTATAGCTATGTGTTAAATGGCACCTGACAATTCTTCCCGTACTTGTCAGCCTTTTTAAAAAAAAATAATTGTGAACGGATTAAGGGTTTAATCAGCTTTGATACTTTGGGCTGGAAGGGAGAATAGCTTCAGGCAGAAATTGGTAGGAATGATGTCTCTGTCAGAAGATCTGTATCTCTATTCCTCCTCCTCATTCAGTTGAATTGCCAGAAGATAAACCCTGACATAATTGTAGATTTGTCTATCTAGACTTCACCATTTCCCAGTTCTCTGCCTGTTTTGAAAGTTGAATGGAAAACTTGGTATCTTACTGTATTGTGTAGTGGCAGAAGATGTAATCGGGGACCAGAGTCATTCTGTAGCCTTTGCTGTTGAGTATTACGGCTTCAGGAAAATGCTTGCTTCTGAGTATGAGTGGTGAGTTTGCTCTTAGGCATAACTATGTTGACTTAGGTGACTCTATGCTCTACCCACAGGTATCTTCTGAAATGAAGTACTTTTCATCTCGCACATTTTTACACATTTTCTCTGTGGCTTGTTTTTAAAAGCTATCCAGACCACTGTTCAGCAAAGCTTTCAATTATTTAAAAAATAGAAACATAAAATATAAAACGCAATATATGGCAGCATATTAAAAGTATGTGCTTGCCCACTATCATTACTTTGTCTAGATGGTATGATTGATGATAATCGGTTTGGATAATTGGCTTTATTGTATGCTGCCCAGAGTCACCTTGTATGAAATGGGCAACTATATAAATTTGATGAATAAAAATAAAATCATTAAAATCCCTAGAATTCAACATTAGTTTATTTTGGAGTTGTGCATTCTGTATTCCATAATAGTCTACACAGGCATCTAATCAGCATTACTAGTCAGTAATGCTGACTGGGGAATTCAGAGAGTTGAAGTCCACATCTCTTAAAATTGCCCAAGTTGAGAAGCACTAGTTTTGTGGATTTCATATGTTCATAGTAGATACGCATCCTCCTGTTGGTTGAAACTACCATACCTAGCTTGCTAGAGAAGGCTTGAATGCTGAGAACAGTGGAAAGAAAGTGAAGAAGAGAACAACCAGCAGCAAGGTTGATGGATTCAATTACAGTGATGATGAGTGATAGCTGGAAGACCTAAGAGACCAAGATATGGACAGATTGTCATGGAGAGAATCAAAAATGAGTTGAAAAATGACTTGATGGTCCATAATCAGTCAAATATCCGGTTCCAAATAATGGAAGTAACAGTAGGTTTGATATTGTTGGATTGCAACGTTCCAAATTCAACCATAAATTTGTACTAACTTTCCCTTAAGATTTTGGTAAGAAATAATTAGATGCTTGGTACAATGCATTCTGGAAATAAAGAACATAGATTTTAGCAACCATCAAGAGAGTTATGACAGGGAGATTTCTATTGTTCTGTTTCAAGTTAAAGAATTCCATTTTAGAGGATAGATAAAGGTAAAACCCTGGGTTTAGAAAAATATTTGGTGACATTTCCAAGATTTATCCGATTTATCCTTGAACCATCCTGGCAATTCTCGTCGGGGGTAAGTGCCACCTGTAAAACATCTTATACAAATTTTCTTTATACGCAGTTGACATTGTCATTTTATAATTTTGAGACCACAATTTTTGCCATTTATCTAAATCAATCCCATATCCGAAATTTTTCCCCACGCAATCATTGTTTCTTTTACTTGTTCTTCCTCTAATTTAAACTCTAGCAAATGTCCATAAAGTTTTTTGATTACTTTTTCATCAGTACCTGTCAAAATTTTATCTAAATCAGTCAACTTGTCATAGATACCTTCTGTTTTAACATCTTTATCAAATCTAGATTGTATTTGCAAATATGAAAACCAATTCATTTTTACACCTTGTTCTTCCAATGCTTGCATAGATTTAAGTTCACCCTTTTCATTCAATATCTCACCATATCTAACTGTTTGTTCCTTTTTATATATTATTGGATAGGAAAAAGCTTCAATAGTAGATAACCATCGTGGAATTTTTAAATAATATTGCTTTTTTATCTTCTCCCAGTTTAGAAACAATGCTTCTCGAATATAATGTCTTCTAAAATACCCCTGCACTTTAGTTCCCTTATACCAGAGGAAGGCATGCCACCCTAACAGCAAGTCATGTCCTTCTAAATTCAAAAGTCTAGTATTCCTTAATGTTATCCACTCCTTTACCTACATCAGACTTGTCGCTTGGTAGTATAATTCCCAATTGGGCAAAGCAAATCCTCCTCTTATTCTTGCATCTTGTAACAATTTAAGTTTTATTCTCGCTTTCTTCCCCTGCCAAATGTATTTTAGCACTATTTTGTTTAAATGTTCAAAAAATTCTTTCCCTAATCTGATTGGAATTGTCTGGAATAAGTATAAGATTCTGGGCAATACATTTATCTTAATTGTAGATATTCTCCCAATCCGTGATAATTGTAAATTTTCCCATTTTATCAAATCTGTCGCAATCTGTTGTTTAAGTTTGAGATAATTGTCCTCCTTAAGTGTGCTACATCTTGGTGTTATATGTATCCCTAAATACTTAACCTGGATCCCCAAAACTTCCTCCAATTCTTTCTTTCGTCTTACTAACGTGTTCTTTGCTAAAATCTTTGTTTTATCTTTATTTTCAAACCTGCTCCTTTCCCATACTCTTCTATCTTTTCTATCAGTTTAGGTGCAGACTCCAATGGATCCTCTAATATAAATACCAGGTCATCTGCAAAAGCTTGTAATTTATACTCTTTTTTAATTTTCATTCCTTTTATTTCTTTTTCTTCTCTGATGTTCCTATTCAGCACTTTCAGTGTTAACACAAACAACAGCCTTGTCTGGTGCCTTTTCTTATATCTATAAAGTCTGTTAACTCTCCAGGAAGCAAGGCAGAGGATTATTTAATGCGCTATAACTAATATGGGACTGAAAATAGGGATTAAACTTTACCCTGGTCTTGTGGCAGTCATGGAATATAATATTCGCATTGAGTTGGAGATACTGATAGCTCATAATCATTTTATGGCTTATTTAAAGTAGACTTTGATGCTGTACAGATTGCAGAGTGTTAGCTTACATCCCATATGTATTTGTACATGCTGAAAAGAGACAGCGTTTATATAATGGCGAGATACTTCATGTGCAAATCATTAGCATCCTCCCTTTTAAGTATGTTCAGGCAGTTTGGGTAGCACATCAGGAGAAATCCCTTGAAAGTACATAAGGTGATAGCAAAGACCATTTCCTAGAAGAATATGGAGTCTCCCGCTCCCTGAACAGAGACTGGACATGTTGTGAGGATATTCTGATTCTGGATTTCCTTCAGTCTCCTTTCATATAGACAGTCTATCTCAGGTTGAGTGACTTCATGTTTTTGAACCGCCCCATGAAAAATAATCTTCCAGATGGTCTCATTAAATGGAAACGGATTAAAAGGGTGGGAAAAAGTTGTACAGCTAAAACTTGTTGTTAGACCCTGTGAACACTGGGTGCATGTTTGTAACATGGATTCATGTTGAAAATGCAGGAAAACTGTGACATTATTTCAAGGGGTCCATTCATTTTGCTGATTTAACCAATTGTCACATTTCTTTACTTACTGAGACAGATTAAAAGAACTACTCATGTACAAAACAAGTAATTATTTCAAAAAAAAATCAAAGTGTTTAACCAGGGGTATCCAACTTCGGAAACTTTTAAGACCAGTGGACATCAACTCCCAGAATTCTCCAACCAGTCCTTGGAAATGAAGTCCACCAGTCTTAAAAGGTGCCAAAGTTGGACACCCCTAGTTTAAACCTTACTTGCAAGCACACCAGCAGAATGATTGTATATGTTAGGTCCTCCAGACGGTCTTTTGAATGAGGCTGTGGTGGTCCTTGACCGTCTCCTCTCCTTCCTCTTTTATGCCAGTTGTCATTCCAAAGACCCCGTTCCCTGCCCCTGACGTGATCTCCGAAAAAAGCACCATGCACAACACCCCAAGGAATATCCTGGAACATCTGCCTGGACAAAGAGGCCGCAAACCTGGTCGTAAAAGAGGCCGGACACCCAAGGTGCTGACCAGCCACCCCAACCCCAACCCTTCCAAGGCAGCGGAGCCTTTAAAATTCCCAAAAAAGAGGGGGCCAAAGCCTGGTGGGAAGGTAGGTGGTCAATGTGCAGGGCTGAACTATCGGACATAGGCCTCCCTCTTCAATATGGCCACTGCAACAAGATTAGTGGACGTCCATCGATGGAAGAATAATGCTTGCTTGCTGATTACCCCAACTTTATTTTTTATAAATAACTCAAGGTGGCAAACATATCTAATATTCTTTCCTCCTCCTAATTTTCCTACAACAACCCTGTGATGTGGGTTGGAGTGAGAGAGAGAGAGAGAGTGTGTGCGATTGGCCCAAAGTCACCCAGCTGATTTGCATATTGCAGAACTAGAAGCCAGTTTCCTGGTGATTGGTCCAAAATCACCCAGCTGGTTTTCATGCCTAAGGCAAGACTAGAACTCGTGGTTTCCTAGTTTCTAGACCAGCACCTTAACCACCAGACCAACAATCAATTAATTAAAAACATTTGATTAGATACAATATACTTTTTGTGTACTCCTGCTTACTACCTTAAAATCACTGGAAGGACTCCCCAGGACTGAAACCTTTGAAAGAGTTTCTAAATTCTAAAGCTGAGCAGGCTGCGTACCGGTCAGGGTTCTTTGTAGGCTGCTTTCACGCTCCATAGAGGAAAATCAGGAAGCCAAGACAGCCGACTGCTTAAAATCTTTTATCAATGCTATAAATCACAATATTTATGCCAGTCCCTGTGGTGGTTGCTGTTGACTCAAGACATTTTTATTGCTGGTTAGCCTTCGTACCCTTTTGTCACAGAGATACCATTTCCTCTTTATGTTCCCGAGAGCCTGTCCTTGATGCAGTAATATCACTTCTGAACAGCTTCTTCCTTTTACCTAGTAGACTTTGTTCCTCCATTGAACTTTTTTTTTTTATTTCTTTCAGAGAAAGCAACGAATGTTACTAAATCCGGCACCCACTTCCCCAACAACTAGCACTCCTGAGCCTGACACAAGTACGGTACCCCAAGATGCAGCTACTATTCCCAGTTCCGCTATGCAGGCCCCTACAGGTAAAGAACCGCCTCCTATTAATTCTGAAAATTCCTGCTATCTTCTTTAAAAACTGGCTCCTCCCACAGGCACTTTTGCTGGGATGATTAGTGAACTTATGGCAACGGCAGCGTATTTTGAGTTTTCTCTTCCTCTGGGGTGGCTGTTCTACTATCTTGATTTTGTGGTTTATTACAGTATCTTGACATTTTCTTTGTAAGCCACCTGGAGTCATTTGGCACTTGGATGGAACTAGAAATTGAACAAATGAACAAATATATAAACCTAATAAGGGAGATTTTTTTTTTGAAAGTAGCAACTTTCAAATATGATAGAGGAAAAAACAATTAGGGCAAAAGAATAATTATTTCCTTGGGTCTTCACATTGTGTTCATGTAACTGGCATCAAACTAGAAATATTGGAGTGTTTTGTGGTTGAACTGTTTAACTGGACAATTTTTCCAGGAATTGTGAGACAGCATTTCAAGATGAATTCATAAGCATGTTAAAAAGAAGAAGAAAGACATATCTTCGTTGCATAGGCTAGAAAACATTGTTTTTTAAAAAAAATAATGGTATTTACACCTGTTCATGCATTTGGAATAAATCAACCAATTAAGGATAAATTTCACTATTATAAAGGAGCAGAATCTGAACGTTTGACATACGTTGAACAATCCATTCTGTGGGGGTTAAATATCTCTGTTAGAGTCTGCTGAATGGATTCCCAAACATAGCTACGTAGGATCACTCACCCTGAAGAATCTCCAGGAGACCTACGCAATTAAAAGGTGCAAGGCTGTTTTGCAGATACAGGTGCAGTGCTTTTCATTCACTACAGAGGGATGCTGGATGAAAGGATTCTGGGAACTGAAGTCCACACCTCTTAAAGTTGCTAAGGTTGAGAAACAGAGCACGTATCTGCGGCTCGAGTCTCATCCTCTCATCCTCGTAGTTTATCAAGCAGCTTTGGGCAAATTAAATTATATAACGGAGAGAAAAAAGAGCAATTTTCAGGATGTATAGACTCTCAAAAACTAATGCAGCATGTGGATCTGTTCTCTGGATCTCAGCCAGGTTAGAGAACTCATTTGCAGAAAAGAGAGATTAAGGGATTGTTGCCTGATCTAGAGTTTACAAGACATTTATCTCTGCTTTTTCAAATTAAGTATTGGGGGCTTCTTACGTGTTTGCTTCTCCTTTCTCCCCTCCATTCCCCCCCCTCCCCCAGTTTGCATCTACTTGAATAAAAACGGCAGCCCCGGGCCTCATCTGGACAAAAAGAAAATCCAGCAATTGCCTGACCATTTCGGTCCAGCTCGAGCGTCCGTAGTCCTACAGCAAGCAGTCCAAGCTTGCATTGACTGTGCTTACCACCAGAAGACTGTCTTCTCATTCCTTAAGCATGGCCACGGAGGAGAGGTTATTTCAGGTAACATGCATGTCGATCTGTCCTACTTCGTTGGGAAAATATCTCCTGGGAAACATGTCTGCTAGCCACAATCTAGCCATGAGGTTCTAATAGTAGCAATGCAGCATCGTGTGCTTTTCAGAAACCTTTGGAGCGAGGGTGGGCAACTGTGGCCCTTTTTCAACCTGTTGGCTTCAACTCCCAGAATTCTGGCTGCCTGAGGAATTCTGGGACTTGTAGTCCACAAGTAGTAAAGGGGTCCTTATTGTCCACCCCTGCATTGGAGTAATCTTCTAGTCTAACAGAGTAATGTTCTAATTTATTCTGGCTGGAATATTGAAATCCCAACAAAATCTGGAAGGCATTTTATTACACTGAGTGACAAGCAGACAGCTGAGGGTGGAGAAGGGGGTGAGTTTTGCTGGTCATCTCTGTAACATTTTTATGTATTTGGCTTTGTTGGTTTCCTCTTCCAGCTGTGTTTGATCATGAGCAGCACACTCTAAACTTACCAGCAGTGAATAGCATTACTTACGTCCTCCGTTTCCTTGAGAAACTTTGCCACAACCTGCGTGGTGACAACCTCTTTGGGAACCAGCCCTTCACTCAGCACCACATGCATCATTCCAGGGAATACGACCATGAGAAATACCTACCCGGTAAGGATTGGGGCAGAGAAAACTCTGCAGGTGGAATACACTGTTTCCCAAACAGATTCCAAACCAGTTGTCCATCATTAATCATTTGGAACCTATTCCTACCACCTGCCTATTCTTGTGTGCCTCTTTTAAACTTGGAGCAAAGCTATATGGGTACTTCTCAACTTATGGCCATAACAGAGCCCATCCATTTCAGTTGTAACTCACGACAGTCATAAAACAGATCACTCACATGACTGACCTCATGTTATGACCTTTTTTGCAGAGGACGTTAAGCAAATGCCACGGTCCTAAAATGACTGTTGGAATCTTAAAAGCAAACACCCTAATTGTAAAATGAACCCATTGTTTGCTATGGGGTGTTTTTTTTCCTGAAAACCAGAAGTAAATGCTAGTTTTAGCAAAAAAAAAAAAAAGTTGTAAAATGTGCTGCAATGCAATGCTGAGTATCTGACATCTGGTCACAACTATTTGTGGGGGTGGGGGGGCTTCCTGTTTGCCAGTCTGAACTTTAGAATCAGGTCATAAATACCTTTGGGGGATTCCATCATAACTTTGAATGGCTGCTAAGCAACCAGTCATAAGTCAAGGACTATATGCATATTATTTTACTTGATACAGCACAGAACATATTGATAGGGCCTTTCTCCTAATGATATTAAGTGCCTCAGATTCTATGTTCTAAGTACATTACTTGAGACAAAAATGCAATGACAGACTTAATATTGTTCATGGGTTGTTTTTGGTGGCGACAATGATGATTAATACGGCAGATAGCTCACTTGAAAACTAAAAAGTAACGTGTTATAATAAAAGTTTGATTGAATAGACCAGCTGGGGAGGGGGGAAGAGACTGCTGATTACTCCAAGTATCTGTGGAAATGGAAGTTTACCTCATTCATTGCAATTATTTCAATTGTGTCTCTTGCATCGTGAACATAAATGTCCAGACTACTTCAGATACAGTAAATTTATCAGTTATTTCAGAAGAATCTCTGGATGGAAATGTGTTGCATCCAAAGTCCATTAAGTTCCATTAAGTTGAAGTTTCACTTTATTTATCTTATTTTTGAACCGCTTTCAGAACAGTAATGCTTCCCCTCGAATTCTCTTTGGCATGTCAAAGATGTGATATGTGGGTTTTTGAAATAATTTGTGTGTGAGTTTCCCAGTTGCGACTTGACATAATACTTGAGGATTATGTTATTAGAATGACTTGGAGATATTACATTTGACCAGTTGAGGTGGCCAATCATCAGATACCCAGGCATTATATCTAGGTTGTATAATATTATTGATCTGTATAATATTATTGATTTCTTCTTTTAGAGAACCACTGGTAAATCTTAAATCTAATTAATCAATGTCCTTGGGTGGGAGGGGGTCCCATATGTTTTAATACCAACCAGTGCCAGTCTTGGGTTAGAAAAGTAGGCATTGCATGAAGAAGGAAATGTTGAATATTTTGTTGCTTTTTTGTGTATTTGTATGTTGAGCTTTACACAATTTTCACAAATAGCTGTCTTGCCATTTAGCTTCGTATTCTGAAGCTTACCCAGTCAGCCAAACAAAGGGCTCTGAAATTTCCCTGTGATGAGCAAAAATACATTTAAGAATCACTTTGAAAAGCACCACTGCAAACAATCAAAGAATAATGACATGCAGGAAGCTTGAAACCAGCAATTGCACAAAACAACTGGGGGGAGCAAATTAACAATAAAGAGGCATTTTGTCATTCCTTAACTCTATTAAGAGCATGCAATAGATTCCCCATCGCGTGTATAAGAATTAAGATATATGGGAAATGGTACACCAATTTTTCAGTCAGGAGAATAAAAAGACTTTTTTTAAAAATTAAAAGTTCTCTCCAAATAAAGCAGTTATTGGCCTTGGAAATGCCACTGTCCCTTTCCTAAAATTCTCCAAATATTGTATAGAACCAATAATGAGATGGTTGGTTGAAACACCCAGAGTTTTCGTTTCTGCTGGTGGAGTGATAGATGCTGCTATAGGCCATTTGAGAGAAGCCAAAGAATCTTTATGGCAGCCAATGACCAATCTATGGCAATTCTGCTGACACGAGGCAGAACGTCCCGTTTCCCAAAGAAGGTGCCGATCTTAAGCAGGGCTTGTTCTCTCTTCCTAGACAGGAGCATTTCGTTAGACGGCTCTCTGCAGGGACCGGGCCGGGGTACAAAGAGGTATTCCCAAGAGTTCCTTCCATACAGTGCTCCTCTGTCCCCCAAGTTACCAAAGAATGACCGTCACCCTTTGGAAGGTGAGCACAGCCTCTTTTCCCAGCCTTGCTGATATTATTCCTTTAACAAGCAGCACAGGTTGAAACTCATGTCTGCGGTCTATTCCTAGCCCAGCTGTGCACTGTAGACATGGCCTTCTGCTCCTCTTTGTCAAGCTGGATTGCAGACAGTGGGCCACAGCAAGGCAGCACATTTCCTTCCTTCCTTCTAATTTCTTGGGTGGGCTCCTTAATCCCTATGCTCCCCGTTATCTGTGCATAACTATAAGAACAAAAGCTATCTATAAATTTAAATTACTAGAACTGAGATTCTTTCTATACATAATAATAATAACAATAACAATAATTTATTGCCATTGTACGTATATACACATAAAATGAAATTCACATAACACCCAGAGACCAGACCCAACACACACACACACACGACAATCCCCGAACACACCCCCACCCACTCCCTAAAAACACACACAAGTATCCACACAACAGACCAAGTAATACTATCCAACGCTCACTGATGGTGGTCCTTCAGTTCATTGTTAAGTGCAATTATAGCTCTGGGATAAAAACTATTCAGAAAACGTGTGGTCCGAGTTCTAATTGTTCTGTATCTTCTGCCAGAAGATACAAAGATTGTAAGCAGGATGGGAAGAGTCTCTGAGAATGTTATGCGACTTCCTCAAACAGTGAGATGCAAAGATGTCATCCAAAAAATGTGCTATTATGGCGATAGTACTTAGACTTATATACCGCTTCACTAGTGCTTTAGAGCCCCCTCTAAGCGGGTTACAGGGTCAGCATATTGCCCCCAACAATCTGGGTCCTCATTTTACTGACCTCAGAAAGATGGGAGGCTAAGCCAATCAAAATCGAACTGCTGGCAGTTGGCAGAGTTAGCTTGCAAATACTACATTCTAACCACTGCGCCACCCTGGCTCTTCTAGCAATCACGATATCCTGAAATAAAATATCAGCCTCTCCTGTCCCCATACAAGGCGTTATTCGGCCATGTTCAGATGGACAAAATGCCTTTTGATTCTTGCATGTGATCAGTTCTACCATTTCTGTGAAGCTGGGGTGAATGGTCTTCTCTAGTACAAGCTGATTTCTCAGTGCAAGCAAGCACAAGAAGGATCTCCTTGCAAGAAGTTTTGTAGGCTGAAGGTGAATGTTCAGTTCCCGTCTGACATTTATGGTTTGAAAGGCAAAATTAGGCCTGTTGCCCATGACTTTTTGTCACTGTTTCATGTATCCATGATAACTGTATGGAACATGTTTCTTAGGGCCTTTGGATACAACCTATTAAGAACAACAACGTCTTCATCTTCTAGTTAGCTTCCCGGATAGCATCTAAGGACATTCTTGGGAATAGGATTCATGATTGGATGGAACAGGTCTCTGAGCTAGTTGAACTCTTAGTTAAGGCTGTTTCTTTCTTTACTAAGACCAGTAAGTGAGCCCTCAACATCCGTAACCTCTTACTTCTTTGAGAGTCCCCTCAGCTTCTTCCAGGCAATTAACGGCTAATGGTCTCTTCTCAGTAAAAAGAGAAGAGACTTCTTCTCGTTTATGAATGTATGTTGCCATAGGACGATGGACACATAAGCCTCTACAACTGTTTCAGGAGGAAAAATAGTGCTTTCTTATGCTTGCAGTAATTTTCCTTGCTTTCAGTAGGAAAGTGCCAGGAAAACAGAACCACACTTGGAATATTGCATCCAGTTTGGGTCACCACCATATAAACCAGATGTTGAGACTCGGGGGGAGTGGGGGAAGTGCAGAAAAAGCAACAAAAATGATTAGGGGACTGGAGGTTAAAACATAAGAAGAAATGTTGCAGGAATTGGGTATGTCTAGTCTAATGAATAGAAGGACTAGGGATGACACAATAGCAGTGTTCCAATATTTGAGGGGCTGCCACAAAGAATAGGGCAGTCAACCCATTCTCCAAAGCACCTGAAGGTAGGACAGGAAGCAATGGATGGAAACTAAACAAGGAGAGAAGAAATCTAGAACTAAGGAGAATTTTCCTGACAGAACAATTTATCAGTGGAATGGCTTGGCCATAGACATTGTAGGTGCTCCATCACTGAAGGTTTTCAAGAAAAGATAGGACAGCCGTTTGTCTGAAATGGTATAGGTATAGTCTTGAGGAAAGGCTTGGACTAGAACAAGGGTCTTCAAACTCGGCAAGTTTAAGACTTGTGAACTTCCAACTCCCAGAATTCCTGAGCTAACATGACTGGGGGAGGAATTCTGGGAGTTGAAGTCCACAAGTCTTAAAGCTGTCAAGTTTGAAGAGCCCTGGACTAGAAGATCTCTGATTTCCCTTCCAATTCTGTTGTTCTGTATAACCAAAGGAAAAGTTTGTATGGACTGTGGCTTGTTTACTATCTTGAAAAGCTTATGATGAGCAGCTCGAGTAAGGTGCGATTTAAAAAATAAAAAATAAAGTGACTTGAACTTATCTCATTAACTGAACCATGAACACACACACTGATGCCATTGGGTGACCAATGTGTGACACTCCTTTGGGAATGTTTTAAAGATGATCAAATCATTTTAAAGATGATCAAAATCTCACACACAGAAGATGGGAGGGCTTGATGGTTTACATGGTCCAGAAGCATTACTGGCACAAGCTGTTCTCTGCATTCTTCATGTAGCATTGAACCAACAGCAGCACATAAGAAATGGCTGTTTGTTGGAATTTGGCTTGAATATTTCAGTGCTGAACTTCAGAGTTTGTGAAGAGTTTCTTCTTTAGCCACAATTTACTTTCCTGTCAGAATGAAAGGAGGAATGGGTGCCAGATAATGCTCCGTGTTTATTCTGCCCAAGAGCTGGCACCTGAATACGAAAAGAGCAGCACTATTTAGATGAAGGAATGTCTAGCTTCCTATTTCAAAAGAAAAAGTAGAACCAAAGTTATAGGGTTTTTAGTGCTCTGTTTTAATGCAGTCTTGCCATAACATGCCTAGGGAATGCTAAGATGGTCTCTTTTAACAAGAAAAGATTTGGCCTGTCCACTGCATTTGCCGCTCAAAGAAATCTCAGGAGTGCTCCAGGATGAACGCTGTTTTCCATGCAGAAGAACTTCTAGGACATGAAGAGAATGACTGAACTTGGTTTCGTAGGGAGAATAGCCATAGCCCTTAGACTTATATACCGCTTCACTGTGCTTTTACAGCCCTCTCTAAGCAGTTTAGAGAGTCAGCATAATTGCCCCTAACAATCTGGGTCCTCATTTGACCCACCTTGGAAGGATGGAAGGCTGAATCAACCTTGAGCCTGGTGAGATTCGATCTGCCAAGTTGAAGGCAGCTGGCAGTCAGCAGAAGTAGCCTGCAATACTGCACTTTAAGCACCGCACCACCACGGCTCAAGAAATGATCTCGAAGAACTCGATACAAAGTGATGAACATAATTCCTCCTCCCCAACTTTCTAGCTGAGTAAATTTGCTCCATGTTGTTGACTTAACAACTGGAGATGTTTGTATACATGGCAGCACCACCGCTGTTGCTTGCATCTCTCTCACCAGTTGTTTATGTCTTCCAGGTGAAACCTTTGTCTTGAAGGACAGTCTCCCTGGTCCTCTGGAGCCTCGCTTGGACCCGATCGACTCAGCCTTGAATGCCGTTAGCGTTTCCAGTCCCATTCGGAACTCCAGGGACTTCCGACTTCAGGGATACCGACACCTTCATCAGCCCTCCAGCCTCACTCAGTGCAGTACCCCTGCTGGGCATAGGCTGAGTGCTGGGGGTAAGAGGCCTCAAAACCCTCCTTCTGTGAAGCAGTCTAGCTTTACCTTTAGCCCACTAACAGGTGGGCAGGGACCTCATGAATCCTGGGCAGCAAGCGGCACTCCTGTTATCCCTCTAGAAGCGTTTGGTGCAAATGCAGGCAAATCCCCAACTTAACAACCGTTCGTCTAGTGACTGTTAGAAGTTACAGTGGCACCGAAAAGTGACTGTTTTCACGCTTGTGACCTTTGCAGCATCCCCACGGTCATGTGATCATAATTTGGATGCTTGGCCACTGACCCATATTTACGACGGTTGCAGTGTTCCGCGATCTTCTGACAGGCAAAATCAGTGGCAGGGGTGGGCTTCAAAAATTTTAGCAAAGGGTTCTCTGCCCGGTTGCTGAGTGGGGCGTGGCCATGGTGGGCGTGGCCTAGTCGGTCTCCTGCGCCACAGAAGGGGGTCATTTTTGCCCTCCCCGGGCTCTGGAGGCTTTCCTCGAGTTCTGTGAGGACCGAAAACGGCCTCCCCGGGCTCCAGAGTCTCTCTGGAAGCCGGGAACAGGCCCATTTCTGGCCTTCCTGAACTTCCGGGATGCCCGTTTTTCGCCCTCCCCAAGCCTCCAGGCGCGCCCTGCGCTTACCTGCATCTAAAACAGGCTGCGTGGGGACTCCTGGGAGGGGAGGGGCAAGGTGGGCGGGGCCAGCCAGGAGTGGGAATTGGGGGGGTGGGGTTCTCCGAACTGCACAGAATCTTAGCTAGGGGCTCTCCCGAACCCCTGCAAACCCCTAGCAGCCCATCCCTGGTCAGCGGGGAAGCCAGATTCACTTAATGTCACTAACTTAGCAACTGGAGTGATTCCTTCTAACAACTGTGGCAAGAAAGATTGTAAAATGGGGCAAAACTCACTTAACAAATGTGTCACATAGCAACATAAATTTTGGCCTCAATTGTGGTCATAAGTCGAGGACCAGCTGTAATTCATTAAACTTGACAGGGTGGTGGTTGTTTTTAAAAAGTGTCACCAGAAACCACAATTTCTTTTTAATAAATTTTATTAATTTTCTGTTGTTTACATTTGTTAGGGCTTAATAAGCACCGTGTTGTCTGGGTATTTAATTTGCTTAATACAGATTACATTCTTAATCCCCACCTCTTTTTTCCAGGCACTGGTAAAATAAATTCCATGTTTGATCATATTCTGTATCTTCTCTCTGTGTAATTTTCAATGCAAGTCTGTCCATTTCTGCACAATCTAGGGTCGTCCTAATTACCTCTTCGTCTCACGGTGTTTCTTCGTTTTTCCAATATTGTCCAAACGTCATCCTCGCTGTTGTTAAGACATGCAATATTAAATATATTGTTTGCTTATCACGTTTTTCCGGTATTATGCCCAATAGAAACAGTTCAGGTTTAAAATCCGCATGTTTAAAAATAGCTATTTCAATAGCATTGGATCCCTGAGCTTCTGCGGCCAGGGTTTATTTGTATTTTTTCATTGTGCCTTCAGGCTCTGACAGATACCTGAGTTCTCGAGACACTTCACGGTTGGGTACCCGGGATCCCTCTGCCTGGACAGTAGAAGATGTCATGCAGTTTGTAAGAGACGCTGACCCCCAGCTGGGACCCCATGCAGATCTCTTCCGAAAGCACGTAAATATGACTTCAGGGCCATCAGACTTGGCTTGAGTAGTACTTCCCTCCTGATGGAAGTGCTGCCACCTAGCAAATGGTTCCTGCATTGTTAATAATTCTGTGGGGCTTTCTTCCCTCCGAGAAGGTCAGTGTCTTTCGGTGACACGCTGAGCAGGCAAAGCTTTAGTGTCTTCCAGCGGTAAACAGGATTACTTGAGCAATGTCGGATGAATATATTTGACCATCAGTCTTAACGTAAGACTTGAAGTAGAGCAGGGTGTCAAACTCAAGGCCCCCCCGCAGGCTGGATCCAGCCCATGGGGTGCTTAGATCTGACCCATCAGGCCACCCTGGAAGCAGCGAGGGACTGGCCCGCGGTGCCTCTGCCAGCGAAAATGGAGCTCGGGAGGGTTGCATGTGGCCCTCCTGTGCTCCGTTTTTGCTGGCAGAAGATTGCAGGAGGTTGACACAGCCAAAAACGGAGCTCGGGAGCCACCTTTCACTGGCAGAGTGCTCAGGCCACCATGAGTGATGTCGAGCTGGCCACACCCACCCTGGCCACGCCTCCCCTGCCTCCCCCATGACCCTGCGGCCCTCCATGAAAATGAGTTTGACCCCCCTGAAGTAGAGAGACGGACTGATACAGTGCAGATGTAAACAGCTGTTCCCAGGAGCTTTACTTGAGGAGTATTATCAAAAGGCTGAATTCCACTTTTAAAGACTTTCCCCCAAGTAGCTGAGAAAGAAGCCCAACCTTAAGCCTCTAATCTCCCTGTAACGCTTACGCAAATGAAGGGTTTTTTGATATAGTGTCACTCCTAGCGTCAAGGCACGTGAAAGAAATTCTTTTTTTTTCTCTGCAACCGATGTCTCGGAGTGAGGCAGCCCTGTCATGTATCACCTCATAGATCAGCAGTCGCCCTCCTCCAGCCTCTTCTTACTTCAGGCACATCACAAACATGCCTCTTTCTGCTCTATGCCTACAGGAGATTGACGGCAAGGCCTTACTCTTGTTGCGTAGTGACATGATGATGAAGTACATGGGCTTGAAGCTGGGGCCAGCGCTGAAACTCACCTACCACATTGATAAGTTGAAACAGGGCAAGTTCTGAAGAAAAGAAAAAAAGAGAGACTCTTCCTGGCACAATCATGGCCCTCTCAGCTCTCCACGAAAGGCGCGTAAAACACGTGTCTCCCTTCTGCAGCCACCACGTCCACGGAATCCCTAGGACACCTTTCTTAACCAGCGGGAGAAAGGTGACTTCCTGCAGGAGGAAGGTCCTAGGCACCTCCAATCCTCGTATGAAGCTTCCGATGGATTCTCGCAAAGGGAGAGGTTTCCTCAGCTCTCCGCTGGTGGCCTCTGGGACCGTGTCTGACAGGGGCGAGGACGCCTCGGGTGGGTGGAGCTGTGGCAGGGCCACCCCTCGCATTCGACTCGGCTGTATGGCCCATCTCTTGTAATCACACCCCTCTTCTTTTGCTGCTCTCTTTGAGAAGCCTCTTTGTGCCACAGGAGGAGGAGGAGGAGGACGTCAAGAGGCCCCTTTTCTGTGCCATACAGAAGAGACTGATTAGGAGCCACCTGAGGAGGACAAGGGGCTGCTGCTCTCCAGACGATGCAGTCCCTTGGATGCAGGGATGGGGTGGGCAGGAGCCCCGTCCAGCAACTCTACTCCCTGCCTGCAGATCACTCTTCTTACTTCTCACTTGGTGCTGTTAATCTCTTCCTGTATTGAGGACTCTGGCTTTGTTTCACACACACAACACACACCCTGCTGGCTGATGGGCAGTCAATTCTTTATATTTATTTTGACACAAGCAGCGGCGGCTCTGCGTTTGTGCTGTTTACCATTCCAGCACTACAAGTGAGCCAGGGAGATGGGAGGCATGTGGTCCTACATTGAAGTCGCCCAGGGCATAACAACTAAGCAACCCTCACCCCCCCGTTTCTCCCCTCACTCTTCCCCTCCATCTTGAAATTTTGCTCTTGGGATGGCAACCATTTTAACTTTTCCCCTGGGGAATTCCACGTCTCCTCTTTCTACCATGGTACCATTAGATATACCTCCCACTTCACCCTGGCGGGTGCTTCCTGGATCGCTACCTGGTAGGCACGTGGGATAGCAGAGAGATGCAGAAATGGGCCTCCTTTTTTTTCACGTGGCTCCACCAATTCCAGTAGGGAAACCTGAATCATTGTATGTGTACGCTGGAAAATAATGTATTTATTTTTATGGCACTTGAGTGGGTGGCCCCAATGTCCTGTAGTTAAGAGAGGTTTTACTGCTGGCTGGTGAGAATAGTGGAGGAGGAGGTCGTAACCTGGTGCTCCACAATTCTGCTTTTTCTCCAGACCCTCCCCTTGAAGTGGGCTTTGTGTCTGGAAAGCAAGTATGTGATGCTCTTTTTTTTTTAAATTCCTCCAGAATAACCATAGCAGCTTGTCCTTTGGGGTGCAAACAAATGAATGCTGAGACTCAGTTGCCCATGGCTGTTCGCCTGCTCTGATTCCTGAACTGGGAAAAATGGGCTAGGCAAAGGTACAAGCCTTTCATAGCATTTCTTTCTGCCAAGTTACACACTCCGCCGCTTCTTCCCAGGGTCGCTTCTTTCTCTCCCAGACACTTCCGGAAGAGGAGCTCCGCAGGCCAGGCCAGAAGGCAAGGCAAGAGGGCCTCTAAAGCAAAGAATGAAAATTCACAGGCAATAAATAAATTCCAGGAAGGAGGATCCAGCAATGACTGCAACTAGTACTGGAATGGAGTGACTCGGCCACCATCTTGGTTGTCCAGTTTAACCCCCTGGGGCAGGCCAGCGACCTGTTTCTGCTATTACTGCCTGGTTGCAGAATACCGTTTCTGTAAGCACTGCCTACGGCAGGTAGCAAGGAGAATCCTGCCAGTGTTCTATTCTGCACTTACTCTGATGATTTTGTTTATAAATAAAATTAAAAAAGACGAGTGGGTTTCTGTCAGCTCAAAGTCAATCACAAAACACTAAATGCAGGCCTTCCAAGATCCCAGTTCATGTTACAGCTCAAAAGAAGGATAAAGTTGCTTCAAAGGTGCTTTTTCAAGAGGCAACTGGACTTTCTGTTTTTTTCTTTGAAGGCATTTCGTTTCTCATCCCAAAACCTCTGAAGAAGCTTCTTGGGTGAGAAGTGAAACCTTTTCAAAGAAAAACCAGAAAGTCTAGCTGCCTCTTGAAAAAGCACCTTTGGGACAACCATGACCTGGATGACTTAAGCTCCATAGACCTTTAAAGTTACTTCAGTAAGCCAGTAATGTTGGAAAACAATTTTACTGGGATAACTGCATGGTCTCGGATTGGTGGGAATTATTGCTTTGTACTTCTACCCCATGAACTGTCAGGACATACACAATAAATTTATTTATTTAGAACATTAATTTAGCTGCCCATCTTATCACCAGTTTGGATGGCTCCCGATCAGAATAACTACAGGTAGTCCTTAACTTTACTACCAGTTGCTCAGCAGCCATTTGAAGTTACAACGCCTGCCTCCCTCCCCACCAAAAAAACCTTACATCTGGACCAGTGGTGGGATTCAAAAAATTTTACTACCGGTTCTGTGGGCGTGGCTTGGTGGGCGTGGCAGGGGAAGGATACTATAAAATCTCCAGACACAGGTGGTATTTGCCGATTCTCTGAAGAACTCAAAGTTTCTGCTACCGGTTCTCCAGAACTGGTCAGAACCTGCTGATCTGGACCCAAAATACATGATAAGGTTGGTCCGCATTTTGGATGCTCAGCAACCAGACTGCATTTACAACTGTTTGCAGCATTCTGTGATCATAATTTACAACTTACTTTCAGAAATCAGGGTTTATGGCCAGTGTCTGGCAACAAAAGTCCATGGCTAACACAATAGGATTGCTTAATGACTACCAATTTCTTAATGGCCACAGCAGAAGCAATTTGTGACACAGGTTTGCTATACACTGTTTACCACCTAAATACCAGTCTTAAAACTGGTTAGTTTCAATAGCAACTACTATTACTTTCCCATTGTTCTAATATCTCTGTACATTGATATATTTTTTTTAAGACATTCAGACTGGAGCCAATAAAGGACATCTTTTAATATGGGGAAATACCTCCCAACCATGTAGTCTACTATGGGCTCAAGTGAATATGTTAGAATTGTCACAAGAATATCTATGACCTCATAATTTAAACTCTTAAGAGAGACTTGGAATATATGCCCGAGAAATAGCATGGCTAGCAGCAGCACAATTTTTGAAGAAACCTGGAGCTATTAAAGAAATGCATAAGAACCAACTCCTTATATGGCACGAGGTTTTTAAGGATGTGAAACTGAAGGTAAGACAAAAGTTTGTTCAGCTTTGGATGGCGTGTCAAGTTAATTGTGCTACAAGCTCAGTAATAGTAACAATAACTGGCTTGTGTTAGTTTTGCCATTTATTCAGGCCATTTCATCAGTCTTTATCTTTCCATCTCTTTTCATCGACCATACAACAAGCCTGATATTTGGCCATGATGAGATATGATAAACGTGGGGTGGATACAAGGCAGGTAGACAGGCAGTGGGTGGCTTGCAGCAGGACAATTGTCATTCCCAATATCTTAAAAACAGCAACAAAGGAAGGACTTCTCCACCTGGCGCAAATGATTTTGGTGAAATTAAGAAAGATGAGAAAGGGAAGGAAAAGAATATCCGAACAGATGCACATAAGGAATGACACTGACTCCTGTTCAACCCATTCTTGAATTCATAATATTTCACTTTTTACAACCACAAGCAGATAGATCCCAACATTCTAGTCAAGGATAGAATAAACGTACAAGCTGGAATTAGGATAGATGACACGGTCACAATTATAGCTAACCCTGAAGTATCAGAATTACCTGGGAGAATGGAGTAATTGCAACTAATGTCTCCCTGAGAGGGAAGTGGCTTCATCCTGAAGAAACTTCTCAGGAGAAGTGTGGAAAAATAACAATAGAATAGTCACTGAAAAAAAAAAATCATTAAATCATTGCATCAGTCTAATATCTGAATCTTCATTATATGATCTAGTAAGTCAAATCTGATTGTAAACTTTTCTTTATTGTTTGGGAGATAGCTGTTAAATTACACCAGCAGCAATCTCCTATGCTAACACCCCTCATTCTCCTAAGTGTTATTTTGTGTGTGGGGGGGTGGTTATTTCTCCCATAAGCTTTGATCTCCATACAGAGAGGTTATGCCCTTGGCCATTTGTAAGAGCAAAATCCTGTTTCTATTTCGCAGAAGTAAGCCATAAAAGAAGAGGTCATTCTTGAATCATGCACTACGGATACCTTCAAGCAAGACCAATGTAGAATGACCTAATAAGCTCTTCTGCGCTCCATCCAGCCACCCCTGAGAAATACAACCAAATGCAAACCTTTCGTTAAGGTCTGAAAATGGAAATGGACGTAATTCCAGAAATCGTAGTAGAAGCCAAAGAAGTAGCTGGCAATGTCGATCAGGTTCCAGAGGCAGCTTTGGAAGAAGCAAAAGCTGAGAAAGATCATTCTGGTCAGACCCAAACCTATCTCCTTTACGTTGGAAACTTAAACCCCAAACATTCCAGCGAAGATCTTTGCAGTATGTTGAAGGACACCCTCAGTATGGCAAGTGTCACACTCCAAAGATACGATATTGAAGTGATCAAGAAACGTAAGCAGGCCTATGCTTTTGTTCAGGTGGCCACAGAAATCAGCCTGGAGCAAGTCCTCAAACAACTGCTGCTTGCTTCCGAGGCAGAACACAACCTCTCCAAAGAGCTTGTGCAGAAGGGGAAAAATCTTGTTGTGGGACAAGGCAAAAAGCCTGCACCTGCTACCAGAATTAGCAGAGAGGTAAGGTGACAGAAAGCTATACTATCTATTCGTTACACACTATGTGGGAAAAGCAGGATAGCTATTATATACTACTAAAGTCTTGAGAATATATAAGAGCTTCCCAGCTATGCAACACTGAGAAGAAAGAAATCAAGAATCACACAAACTGCACCAGCTAGAGCATTCTTGTACTTAGAATTCCCCTACGAACTTCCATTTAAAATCAACCATGAAAGGTATTTAATATCAGGTTGCATTCTTGAAGCAGGCCAGAACAGTGGAAAAGTCCAAGTCCACTGGTGAACTGCTACTGGTACTTAAAGTTCTTGGAATCCTCCCCTTCTCCAAGCATACTAGGGGAAAGATATACATACATGTGTAAGAAGCAAGGTGCATGAAATGTACACCTTTTGCTTTTTTCCTCTCCCTTGCAAGGAAATAAATTCCCTTGCACCAGAATAGCAAGGAGAAGCCTGGCTATTCTAATAAGGGATTTATTCCTTGCCACATAAGCCCTTTTTTCTTTTCTCTCTCAGCAAACCGATAGCACCCAATCTAATTCACTATGACATGTATTACAAAATATTTCTAGCACGTCTAGATATTTTTCCACGTTCCTTTAAAATAATATTAAAGCAGAATAGTCTTAACTGTGCACCCACCAGGTACTTAAAATAAGCATGTCGCGGTAAATCTAGGCATTGTTTGCAGACAATACCTTTTGCAGCAATTGTTTTTTGTTTAAAAAAGCCCCCCAAAGATTTGTGATTTAGCATGTTGCCTGGACCCAGCTACCTTCTCTCAAGTCTATCACCACAATTCTGTGTTCCCTTAAGCAAGGTTTAATTTGCAGCAGGCAGGGTAAAGTCAGCTTTTAAGTGTCAGTTCAAATGGATTTAACACAGAACAGATTTGTTCTCTGGAGACGTTGATTCCATTTGACTAAATAACTCCCAAGTTATTGCAATACGCTTCAGAGCACATTATTGGCAACAGGCAATAAGAAATTTAGACAAATGTGGTATGGTTATTTCAAACTGACTTATTTTATATAGGCCTCACCAACAATGTGATACATCAATACATCATATAAATGTATTGGATTGTCACACTCATAATTGCTGAACCATAAAGCTCCAGGAAACTTCTATTTTGGGGGGAAGGGACCCCTATTAGCCATAAATTTTGGGGGAAATATGTCCATGGCATATTAAGATCCTAGGCCAATTATAATTCCTCACCAGAGACCCAAAGTATCCTATGTATTATACATATTAACAATTGGCTATTCTAAATCAACAAAGGAGACAAACTCAGTATAGATCTGGAATTATAAACTCTTGCTTAGTTTCAGAGTTTTCATCAACGACAGCCATTCGGTGTCTATGGAGATTCTCGGTCGTCCAGGTCATGGTTGCCTCAAAGATGTTTCAAAAGGCATCTGGACTTTGTTTTTCCCTGAAGACATTTCGCTTCTCGTCCAAGAAGCTTCTTTAGTTCATGAACTGAAAAAGCTGCTTGGATGAGGAGCAAAAAGTCTTCAAGGAAAAATAAAATTCAGTTGCCTTTTGAAAAAGCACCTGTGGTGACCTGGGGCTTGGCACAAAGGCAACACAGTCAGATAATCAGTAGAGCCCCTTTGTTAGCTCCAACTTTGCCCCCCAATATCCTGGTTACCTTCTGGCTGGAGAAAAACTCTCCCAGGAACAGCCTTTGGCTGCAGAGAATCAAGTTGAAAATGTAGTCAACAAAAATTGTAACTATAAGTCCAATCAAGAGGAGATCATTAGTCTGGCAGGGAAAGAGAAGGAATTTCAGACATGAAGGAACAACAGTAATTCAACATGGTTGGGAGGATGCCAGGAACGCAGATAACCAAAGTCAACACAAGATAGTCCTGTTTGCTCCCAGCAGCTGCCGCAGTCAGCATTCAGTTCTTTTAAACTCTCATTCCCAGATGTGGCTAATGAAGGGAATCAGGGCCCTTTCCTCCCGGTAAGCCATGCAACCCACGTTGCTCTCTTCTCCGTTCCCACCGTGCCCTAGGATGAAGAGGGGGTGGGCCTGGGTCTTCCTCTGAACTCCCTCTCCCTTATTCTACCTCTTCCCTGCTCTGCCCAGCCGGACTTTGCTCTTCCCATTTCCTCCACAGCCAATGGAGCCACATTCCTGCTCCCTGTCAGCTGTTCGTCTTCCTCCTAAGATTCAGACTCCAACAGGGGCATGACATCACCTTTGGGAGAGCCATTCAGCTTTTAGAATTCAAAAACAATCAGAGCCAATATTTAAGCCCTTCCTTCCTCATTTAAACACCAATGTTTGTATATAAAGCACAACAGGAAAGATTGGATCAATGCAGGTATGTAATTTTTATCACAATTGCTCAACCAAAACAGGAACCTACATTATTGCAAAGCCGCAAGTCCTTTTTCTGGTGACATTTGACTATACGCTTGAATTTTACTCATCATGCCTACAGAGTGATTCCATGGGAAGCAGATCAGATGCAATCCTAGGAGGATCCTCGGGACCTGAGAGAAGGAAGCCACTGCCAAATGACAACAGAGCTAATCCCCTCAGAAAAAGTGTTCGTTACCCTTGGAGACTGGTCGACTGGCCAGTGACTTTCCTGAACAGCACCCGCTCTGACAGTGCCATTGTCCAGAGAGAGATTGTTGGGAGAGAATGCCTGTTCTATGGAGCTTTCATTGGTGGAGAGACGCGGAACGTGGAATTCAAGCAAGGAAGCGGAGAATACCTGACGACAACGCTGAAGCATCACTTGCGGAAGTACACCTGTGCTTTTCTCAACAGTGAAGGGGGCAGTCTTTTCGTGGGGGTTGAGGACAACGGCTTGGTGCGTGGCGTCAAATGCGACCACAAAGAAGAAGACAGAATCCGCCTGCTGACCGATTCTCTTTTAAAAACCTTCAAGCCGCAGGTTTTCCCCACCGCCTACACGCTGAGCTTCGTCCCAGTTATCAAAGCAGAAGACACGGGCATCTTTCTCAAAGTCATCCGGCTCAGCGTCCATCCTCCCAAGCCGCACGCAGAACCTCTCCTGTACGAAACAGATCAGGGGGAGGTGTACCTGAGGCGAGATGGCAGCATCCAAGGACCCCTCTCTGGAAGCGCTATCCAAGAGTGGTGCCGGCAGGTAACGTTCAGATTTTGTGTATCTTGTATAAAGCGCTTGGGGACCAAACCAAGTTCTAGCTGTTGCACACTCACACACACAGGCCTAGAGGTGGAGTTCTGTGAGGCTGTGAGTTCAATCCTAGGTAGAGGCAGATATTTCTCTGGGCCCAGTGAGAACATATCTGCTGAACAAAACTCCACACTGGTGACAGGAAAGGCATACGGCCATTAAACGCTCTGCTAGTTCCGTTCAGTTGCCCAGACTCCATCCCGCAAGGGATTATGGGGTAGTTAAAAAATGATGATGACATAAAGAAGTAAATTTGAAAGTTTCCCAAGATATAAAATTGGAGGGAGGGGGTTGAAGGAGGAGGCTTGTATCAGAATTGATGCTTTTTCTCAGGAATAAATACTTTCATCCTTGAAAAGCAAGTTTAAAGCTCTCAAAGGCCATTGGAAGGAAGCAGTTTTATCTTACTGCTAAATCCTTTCCAATTAAAATCATAGGTAGAGTTTAGCCACTGATGAGCACTGAGTCAATCTTCTCTCTAGCAACCCAGCAATTAAAATATTCAAGACAATTTTTTTTTTCTGCTACAGTGCTTTGAAGTGAGCCTTCTGCAGAATAAAGATTAAGGTGCTCCGAAATAATTAACACGTTGTTCCTGCTAGGCTCATGCAAGAAAGAAGGGCAAGCCAGATAATCTCCTTACGCCTTTAAGAGACTATCTGGCTTTCCTGATGCCATCACCAGAGTCCGACTTGCAAAACAAGGTGGTCATTGGACCATCACTATTATGGGGAAGGGAATGACCATGACTTTGTAAATTTCCCAGAAATGGACACAGGAAATCAAGAAGCTGGAAGTGAAAACAGGTGACTTGCTGAAGGAGAAAGAAAACCTGCAACAGCAAATACGTTCGCAGAGTAACAGCATGAAATGCTGCGTCATCTTGTAACATTAAGCCATGCCGTCCATCATCAGCTGGAGGACAGCACATACCTGGGCAAAGAAAACGTGGCCCAGTTAAAAGCTTGGATCTACCTACGGTCATCTTGTGCCAGGAGTATGGTGGCCGTTATTGGGCTTGGCTTACCTCTTTCCAATCCATGTAGAATATCCTATGGCAACCAACATTGGAGAAAGCAATTTTCCCCTCCTCTCTGCATGTATGTGTGTGTTATCCAACCAGTCAGGTTGATGAATGTGAAGGAAATCCCACCCCTTTTGCACATGCACTCTTGTGCATCAATACATTTCATGTTATGGGTATTTAAAGGGGAAAAAAAACATTATTTGCAACTATATTAACACGGCATCATTCCCCTTCTCTAACCTGCCCTTCCTTCTGCCACTTTTCACCATGTGGCTATTACTGCTATGGGCAATTCTCCCCTAAGAAAAGGGAAAGAAAAAAAAAACAGGGTTACTGCTGGGATTCTAGTGATGTTCAAGCAAGTCTAAACCTGGCTTATGGCTAATATTCTTTAACTGACATCTACTTGAATTTATATGGGTGGATGTTTCAGATTATAAATAATAGCGACCTCCTTTCCATGTGTTAATGAACAGCAGCTAAGTTAATTCCTTGAGTAAACATTAGGCAATGGGTCCTGGGAAGTTTTCAGTTGGCCCTTTAATGTGATTTGGGGACAGTGGAGTTGGGATGGTACTATTTCTACCATCATTTTCTACCGTAGTATTCCAGGTATGTCAGCAATAATCGGCAGGGAGGAAGGAAGAAAGGGAGGGAGGGAAGGAGGAAGTAGGGAGGGAGGGAGGAAGGAGGGGAGGAAGAAAGGAAGAAGGGAGGGAGAGAGGGAGGAAGAAGGTAAAAGGAAGAAGAGAGGGACGGAGGAAAGGAGGAAGAAAGGGAGGGAGGGAGGGAAGGAAGGGGAAGGTATTTATTTTAAACCCTATCTGTATGAAGGAAGGAAGGGGGATGTATTTCTTTTAAACCCTATTTAAATGACAGGAGGGAGGGAGGGAAGGGAAGGGAAGGGAAGGGAAGGGAGGGAGGGAAGGGAAGGGAGGGAGGGAAGGGAAGGGAGGGAGGGAGGGAGGGAAGGAAGGAAGGAAGGAAGGAAGGAAGGAAGGAAGGAAGGAAGGAAGGACAATATGATGTAATTTTAAAAGAAATCCCACTCTTTAAATAAGAGAAATGGGGAGGGCATGGGGGGGGAGTTTTCAAGTTATATAAACAGACAGAGCAGACCAACTGTTTCCCAAAGTTTTAATGAACTGAAAAGGATCTGTACATCCAATATGTTTGCACTAACACACTGTTTCACCTAACTTGCTGGAAAACCAAGTTTAGAACCTGCCTCTGGGAAAAGATCTCAAACCACATTTTTCTTCCAAAAAAAAAAAAAACCTTCCACATCTGCAGGCTCATCCTTTCTCTCTCCTAAGGCTGCACCTGTGTGTCGCTGGGCAGGTGCATCCCCCTGTAAATGACAAGTGCCTGGGACGGCCCACACGCCAACAGAGGCGCTTCGGTTCCGTGTAGGGAGGTCTCTCCCCGAAACCCTCAGTGCTTCTTTCGAGTCCAAGGCAAAGCTCTCCACGAGAGGTGCAAAAGGCAACTTCTGAAAAGTCACTTTTTCATACACGTGTACTCCCCCCCCCCCCCCCGCCGCCACCCACACCCCTTGATGCAAGGAATTGGGATCAGTTCAGGAAGCTGAACTAAAAGAAAACCATGCTTCCCCCCCCCCCCCCGCCCCCAGTGAATGTGTAAAATGGCAGGGGGAGAGGGGAATTGACACACTCGCATTTTCAAAAACATCTTTAAATGTGGGTCCAGACTTGCTTAGCCTCAGAGTGCCCTGCATCTTGTGAACAGGAAAATCATACTCTCGGGAAAGGTTAATAAGCAACGTTAGGTCTAGTAGCACCAGTTTGGTTTTAGAATACTTTTAAAAGCTTGGGGGTAGCCTGCCACGGTGCACCTCCAGCACTGGAGAAGAATCAAAACCCTGAAGAGAGATTCTGCGTGGCCTCTTCTGCGAGCATCTCCATTGGCCTGTTAAAGCTCCTTTACGTGTCCTCCTTACGTCTCTTCCTGCCTCTCAGCTTCCGCACTTCAGGTTTGTAAGCTCACCGCTGAGCACGAGTAAGCAGCAATGCCAGTTTCTCGGAATAATTTCTTTTTAAAAATAAAATAAAAGTAATGACAAGGTGTCCCCCCCCCAAAAAATAAAAACAATTATAATAACATGATCTACAAGATCCTCAGGACGTAGGGTTGTCCAGTGAAGAATTTCCAAACACCTGGATTGGTTGGGATGAAGAGAGAGAAAAAGAGGAAGATCAGAGATATTTATATCCAATTTATCGGTATTTTGAAAAATATTCTTTAACCTGGTCATTTTGACTCCCACACCATCCCCTGTTCCCAGGAAACGTGAGGCAAGCAAAGAGGGAAAGGAACCATTTTAAAAACCCAGAAAATGAAAAGTAAGATTTTACCAGCAGTTTACTCAAGATTCACTGCAGTAAATTTCAGTTCTGTGATCTCAGAATCGGGGGAGCTACTTCCACTTCTGTCACTATAGGTATCCCTGAAAAATTCAGGCTGTTAGAAAAATAACAGGATTTCTCTTATATACATTAACAAACCCTGTTCCTGGTCTACTGGTTCAGCTAGAATTCCTGGCCACTGAGGCAAGAAAAATCAAGAGAAAGAACATACTGTGATCTACCCTCAACATTCCAGAAGATAAGGTTGCTTGGCTGAATTTATACAAAAACCTCTTTACATAGTGGGGATCCCTTCTTGTTTGGTAACATAATGATCTGTTACAGGATGACTCAGCATTAGGCCCTAGGCCACAAGGGTCTTGAACATTTTTGCTATTTTTTTAAACGGGAGTACATGAAAGAAACTTATTTTGATTAGTTGCGGAAAACAAAATGCTTGGAATTCAAACATCAACATAAAAGGCAGAAAAATACATTGTAAATTAGAATTCATAGTTTGAACATGCATGTGTGTATGGGAGGGAGGGAGGGAGGGAGAGAGGGACAGGGAGGAGAGAGGGAGGGAGAGGGAGGAGGGAGAGGGATAGGGGAGAGAGGGAGAGGAAGGAAGGGACGGGGAGAAGGAAGGGAGAGGGAGGGACGGGGGGAGAAGTAGAAAAGGGAGAGGGATGAGGGAGAAGGAGAGAGGGAGAGGAAGGGACAGGGAGAAGGAGAGAG